GAGGATGAGGCCCAGAAATCAGGATTTTAAAAAGATTCCCAGGTGATTCTAATGTGCAGCCAAGGTTGAGAACCACTGTGTTAGAGGCTCTGGGACTCCAGAGCCAGTTCCTGGGACCAAATCCCGGCCCCAGCCAGCTGTGTGACTTCAGCCAATGGCTTACCCTCTCTGTGCCTCCTGCTCTTCCCCTGTCGCAGGAGGGATGATCGCTGTGCCTGCCTCAGGGACTCAGACCTGCTAAAGAGGCTTTCATCAAGGTGAGACCACGGCTCCATCAGATATAAAGGTAACACGTGCGAAGGGGTCTTGCATTCACTAATTCGTGAGGGAACCGGTAGGGGTGACCAGCGGCTCGAAGGAGACAGCAGAGAGCACAGGTGCGCGGGTGGTCGGGATGCTGACATGAATGGCGGCCCGACGCAGGCCTGGCCGCCAGGTAACCGGTGCCGTCCTCCGGGCTCCGTCACGTGCATGGCCATGGACAGGGACTGTGTGCCTCCTCTCACTTCTCTACCTTACAAAGTCGTAAACAACTCAAAGACAACAAAAGCAGCGATCATGGGCGGGGGGGCAGGAGGTGCTGGCAGGACACGTGGCGATAGCCTTTTGTGGGGCTTTTTGCCCGTGTCCAGGCCTTTCCCGCAAAATGAGTTCATCCACCCGCAGTGCCTGGCATAGAGCAAGTGCTACATAAGCTTTTGTAAAAGACAATGTGGAAATAATGAAATAGGCTAAGACTATTCAAGCGTGCGGTCCCCCCCCCCGCCCCCCCCCCCCCCCCACACACACCTTTCCTTTGGCAGACTCTCAGGCAGGTGGAAAGCTTACGAAGACCCGGGCAGGCTCTGGGTGGGTCGGTGCAGGAGGCTCCCTGCCCTGGGAAGCGCAGAGCCTGGCTGGGGGTGGGAGCAGGGTGGGGCCCTTGGCCTTTCCGTTCACCCCACTCTCCTAGGCTCCATGTGATGCAGCTCTCCTGCCTTCCCCGCCCCTGATACTTAGAAAGGCTCCCGTGAGGTTCCTCTCACATTTTCATTAATTTCTATTGAATAATTAAAACCAGGAAATTAATACTTTCAACCTAAGCCCAAATTGCAACATGTGCACTTTTCATAATTGTCATTCCACTGGGGCATTAAACATGCGAGGGAGCCCTCCTTCCCCAGAGACAGAGGGGACAAGCGACATCCTGGGGCTCAGAGCCAGGGCTTGGCTCGGTTGTGCACTCTGTCGGGCTTTTGGATGGATGGGTGATGGGTGGTGGGTGGGTGGGTGGGTGGGTGGGTGGGTGGGTGGATGGATGGGTGGGTGGGTGGTTGGGTGGGTGGGTGGATGGATGGATGGATGGGTGGGTGGGTGGATGGATGGATGGGTGGTGGGTGGGTAGATGGGTGGTGGGTGGACGCACAGGTAGGTGGGTGATCTTTGGGCTGCACCCTAAGCCCCACGATGAGGCCCCTCTTCCCGCCTTCCCAGGCCCGACCCACAAAGTGGGGGTCAGAGGAAGGTGCGGGGTGTGGGGAGCCCTGCCCTGGGCCACAGCTTTGCGCTTCAAAGTTTAAAATGTGTCACTTTTAATTACGTCTGAGTGCCCTGTACCCTGAGGCTTTCTGTGTAAACGGCTCTCAATAAACACAGCTTATTCATTAATTATTATTAATTATTTCCTTGAGCAGCAGCGAGGGGAGGCAGGGCCCGCGCAGCCCCAGTCAGCTGCCAAACCCAGGATGAGTGGGGCGCTGAGGGCCCGGGAGGGGGCGCAGAAAGGAAGCAGAGGGTGGGGTGAGGGCCACACTGTCAAACAGCAAGCCCTCCACGCTGGTGAGACGCCCCTGCGGAGGGCCCCCCATCGGTGGCAGGTCTCCCCAAAACACAACGCACATGAGACATCAAAAGCCTGGATTTGTTGCACAGGCCAATTTCTGAGGCGCAAACACTCCCCCCACCCCCGTTCAAGACACCAACACTGTAACCCCCACTTATAAAAACTCCTGGGAATCTAACACGCGGGGCCTTGGGCCTGAGGTGGGAGCTGGACTCCTGCCTGGAGCCAGGCCTCTTCTGGACCCTGGCCTCGGGGACAGGATGGGGCAGGAAACACCCTTTGCTGGGCAGGTTCCAGGATTGATGAAAAGCAAGCGTCACCAGACCCGGGAAGCCGGGGGTTCCCCACAGGCTCAGGCCCTGGACACTGGTGTTCAGGACACGGGCACCAGGGGCGGGGGGGGGGGGGGGAGAGACTGTGTACCTTGGCCAAGCGCTGCACCACGCGCTGTGCTGTGCCAGGGTTTGTGGGATGGACGAGGGGCCGTGGGGGAACACGATGGGGCATGGGGAGCCCTGAATCCAGCTTTAGCCGAGGTCGGGAGTTTGCCATCTGCCCCCCTCCACCTCCCCTGCTGAGGTCCCCGCAATGCACAGGCACAGGGAGCGGTTCTGAGGGACCAGGCGGGTCTAGGGTCAGAGGACAGAGCCTCAGGGTGTCTCATGCAGCCCCCAGCCGGAAGCACTCCCAGTGCTCCAAAACCCAAAGCCCAGTCCCCCCCCCCCCAGCCCTGGGACCCCCACTGGAGAAGACCCCCCCCAAGGCTCTTGAAGGAAGAGGTGGCAGATGGTCAGGCTGGGCGGCCAGGGCAGCTGGGGGAGCGGGGAATGACCCCAGGAGGGCAAGTGTCCTCTGTTGGGTTTGCTGCACAAACAAGTCAGCTGCCCTGTTTCTCCATATTCATGAGTCTCAAGCCCAATATGCAAATATATGCAGAAGTCAAGCCAGGGCTGGGCTATTTTTAGCAGAGGCAGAGGCGGTGATCAAGGCTGAATCCAGCGGGAGGTGTGTGGGGACCACCCCCTTCTGCTGGGATCACCTGGTGCTGCTCCCGGGTACCCCGAGGGCCCGTGCTTGGGAGGATATTTGGGGGGCAGGGGTGGGGTTACCGATGTGATCTCCAGTGGGTCTGAATCCCTGGGACCCAGCGTTCTGTTTGGGGGGCAGGGGTGGGGTTACCGATGTGATCTCCAGTGGGTCTGAATACCTGGGACCCAGCGTTCTGTCTCCTTGAGGGTTTTATTGAGAAGGCTCCATGTTTTTCTGGGAAAAGGTGGACTGAGCTGCGTGCAGGCCGGTGGCCTGGCCGGGGGCCACTGGGCTCGGGACTCCCTGGACACAGCTGAGCACTGGGGGCTATTATCTTTAAAGGCAGGCGGCCCATGACCCCTGCATTAGTTCCTGTGGCTCCTGCAACAAACCATCACAAATCAGAGGGTTCGAAGTTACAGATACGATTCTCTCACAGCTCTGGAGACCAGACGTCTGAGATGGAGGGCGGGCTGGCCGAGCTCCCCAGTCTAGGGGAGGGGAGGCCCCTTCCCGCCTCTTCCAGCTCCTGGTGCTGCTGGCACCCTTCCTGACCCCTGCCTGTGGCTGCACCCCTCCAATCTCGGCCCGCGTCTCCACGTGGCCTCCTCCACGTGTCTGTGCCCCACTTCCGCTCTTACCAGGACGCCAGTCATCGGGCTCCGGGTCCGCCCACACCCAGCGGCCCATCTTCACTGCGTCTGCAAAGGCTCTTCCATATCAGCTCACCGCAGGGGACACAGTTCAACCCACAACCCCTGCCACCTCCGCTGCCCAAGGATAAGCCGCCCACCAGCCGCTCGGCTGGCGACGACCTCCGGCCCAGGGGTCAGGATGTCTGGTGTCCGGTCTGGGCAGCGACAGGCTGGGAACTGCTCTCCCCGGAGCCTCACTGTCCTCACCCGCCAGGAAGGCGCAGGAGCCCTGGACCTAGAGGCACCCGGAGGCCACCTGGAGGCCCCTGAGGGCAGACCTGAGGTCCGCGGCCCGTAGCTCCGTTCCGTTACTGAACACTCACATCCCAGCTCGCCACACTTCACACCTGACCTTGATGCACCCTCAGCCCCCGCGTGCCGGGATCACCTTCCTTATTTCACAGGAGAAACACGAGAACCACAGGGCGGGTCCCGCGGAGCAGGTTGGGGTTCTGAGGGGCCTTTGGAGTCAACCAAAGGGAGGGGCAGCTGCGGTGCCAGGCGGGAGGAAGGGCAAGTCCACCAGGCCCAGCCCCAGCTAAGAGACAAAGCAGAGTCTGTCCAGCGGCCGCCCAGGCCTCCCGGCCGCCCGGCCTCCCAGGAGGCCCCGCGCCTCTGCAGCCCTCCCTCCCACCTCCCGGTTCTGGGAAGGGCACTTGTCCACAGCCTCCGCACCCTCTCCTGCCCGTGAGCTCCCACAGAGCTGTGTGTGCATGCATGTTCCTTGCCCCAGGCCCAGCTGGCGCCCGCCTCTTCCCTCCTCATCCCCAGGCTCATCAGCAGCTGCGGCCTCCCCGCCTGGGCTGTGGGAGCAGCGCCTCTGGCCTGGGGCCTGAGTGGGAGTGGGAGGGACAGGCCTCAAAGGCCCCTGCAGCCGGTCCCCAGATCCCTGGGGTCAGAGGTGCTGCCAGGCGCTGCCCCTAGAGGCCCTGGCGCCATGCTTTTCAGAACCTCTGATGCCCGGGCCCACGCGGACGCTGGCTGGATGGGTCAGGGCAGCGGGTGGGGGTGGCCGAGGCTCCCAGGTGTTTGCCATGGCTGTTCCCTCACCTGTAAGGGGGAGGGGGAGGCGCCTGCGGTTTGCAGGGGTGGGGGGGGGGGGAGTTGCTGAAGTGAGGCGGCCACTTGGGTTTCGGGAGGAAGGGCTGGAGGACCCCTCCCGCCACCTTCTGGCTTGTATCTGGGCGCGGGTCAGACTCCTCTCTCTCCTGCTACCAGCCTGCTTCTGCCCCCTCCGCCCCTGCACCCCACTCACTTCATTAAGAGTCTAAGACAGGAGGCAGGGCCCTCCTCTGGACAGCCTGCCGCAAAGCCCCAGCCTTGATGATGTGGAGCAGGGACGGGGGGGGGGGGGGGGGGGGGGGGGGGGCTCCCGCTGGGCGTTCCCAGCCCCTCGCTCCGCCAGCCCCTCACGTCCCAGAAAAGATGAGAAACAGCAGGCTCCTCCTCTGCACCTCACATCCCAATAAAATATTTATTATTTCAAGAAATAAATCTTTAAAAAAGAGAGAGAAGAGAGTCTCTATTGCTTTCCCCCGAAGGTCAGGTCCTTGGTGACTGGAGTGTCTGCGGCTGCAGGGCGGCCGGGCTGGGAGAGGGTCCGGACGGGAGGCACCTGCGGCAGCCGAGGCCGCTCCTCCCGACTCTCAGGGCCCGGGCCACCTCCATGGCCGGTGGCGGGGCAGCCCAGGAGGGCGGCCGGGTGGCCCAGGGAGGGAGGGGGTTATACACAGGATGGGGTGGCAGTGTTTCTGGGGGCCTGGGCGGGGCAGGCATGCTGCACAGGGTGTACAGGTGATCCGAGATGGCTGGAAGCTGGAGGGACACGGACACAGCACTGATGGGTGGGGGCCTGGGCAGCCAGGGCCTGGGCCAGGGGTGTGATGGGCAGAAGCTCCGTCTGAGCCTGTGCCTGCAGTGGATGCTGGGAAGGGGCCAGCACCGTGCTCAGAGGCTGGGGGGGTAGGGAACAGGCCGGGGCCGGAATGGCAGTCATGCCAGGGTGGCTCAGGAGAAGCCCCAATGAAGAGAACAGAACAAGCAGGAGGGGGACGCTGTTCCACCCGCCCGAGGGGTCCCTGCGCCTCCAACGGTGGCCCGTGCAGCAGGGACAGGTGTGGGAGAGGGGAGGGGCAAGGACTGGGTCCCTCCCCCTGGCCTCCCCAGTCCCCTGCCCCTTCTGGCCACACCCCAAACTCCTCCACAGGGACAAGGCCTACGCCCCTCCCGGGACCCCTGCTCCCGACCTTGTGCAGCGAGAGGCTCCGTCCTGGGCCCAGGACCCTCTCTCCACCTGTTAGGTCTGGCCTTGCACTCAGCGAGGGGCTCCTGCCCCTGCTCCTGGCCGGGGACCCTCTGGCAGCCCCACAGCCGGTTGGCCTCGCTGCCGCCATGAGCCCCTGGATGAGGAGGAGGGGCCGCCCCCCCCTGAGGCCTGGCACTCGCCTGCTCTGCCCACTCCAGGCCGAGGGAGGAAGCCCAGCTTGGGGGGGGGGGGGCGGTGTCGCTGGAGCTCAGAATCTGCTGGTGCTTCTCGGCGCAGGGGGCTGCGGCGCCCTCACAGGCAGTCCCGGCACAGGGCCACCTGGCCCTTGCGGAAGTCCCGGCAGGGGCAGAGCCGTTGGTACTTGGCGCTGGCGCCCGCGCAGCTGAAGAGCAGCGGCTCCTTCTGCAGGAGGCACTCCTGGCCGGGCTGGGCGAAGGCCGGGTACAGGTGGTTCATCTCCCACTCGGTGCTGTCGCAGGGCACCTGCAGCCTGGCAGACACCAGGGCGGCAGCACTCAGCGGGCAGGAGCAGAACGCCCAGCGGGTCCTGCCCACCTCCCCACCCCGGCTGGCCCAGCCCAAACTGGGGAAGAATTTTCTAGGAGGAGCCAGGACAGACCTTGGCCCTCGGCTCCTTCTCCCACCTGCTCGGAGAGAGGAGGGGAGGGGCCAGGAGGGTGGGCCTGGCTGATCCATCAGGGAGAGCCTGGGGAAGATGCTGGGGGGGGGGGGGCGGGGACTGGACAGGGAGCTTCCATCAGTGCCTTGGGGCTGAGGCTCTGCCGGGAGTGTGGGGCTTTGATGGACACCTGCCTGGAAAGTCCCTTGGGATCCTCCCTGACTCACTGAAGGTGTCCCCTTCACCCACTGCTGCCAGCTGGGCTGGATGGGGGTTCTGGGAGTGAGCCTGGCTGGGCTGGATGGGGGTTCTGGGAGTGAGCCTGGCTGGGCTGGATGGGGGTTCTGGGAGTGAGCCTGGCTGGGAGAGGGGGGTTCTGGGAGTGAGCCTGGCTGGGCTGGATGGGGGGTTCTGGGAGTGAGCCTGACTGGGCTGGATGGGGGTTCTGGGAGTGAGCCTGGCTGGACTGGATGGGGGTTCTGGGAGTGAGCCTGGCTTGGAGGGGGAAGGGGTTCTGGGAGTGAGCCTGGCTGGGCTGGATGGGGGTTCTGGGAGTGAGCCTGACTGGGCTGGATGGGGGTTCTGGGAGTGAGCCTGGCTGGGAGAGGGGGGTTCTGGGAGTGAGCCTGGCTGGGTGGAAGAAGGGGCTGGTGGCTCACTCACTTCTGGAAGGCGTCCTGGCTGTTGAGGAAGGGGAAGAAGGAGGGCTCGCAGACCAGCCCACGGTCCAGGCAGGCGTCTGTGCAGGCCCTGCCCGCGGCAGCCAGCCAGGCCCGGAGGGAGTGCGCTGGGGGCCAGGCCCCGGGGGCCAGGCTGGAGTTCCGGGCCCATTCGAGGTGGGTGGCATTGGGGGCCAGGACCAAGGGGCTCTTCGGGACTCCAGCCCCTGCTGGGGCGGGGCCTGGGGCTGCACAGAAGTCCTGCCAGGAGAGAGCAGTGTGAGAGGCAGCAGGCCACGGCGGCCACGGGAGCCACGGGCTGACACGTGGGTACTGGCAAACCCATCATCATGCTCGCATCACCATCAGGGCTAGCTAATGCCGGTGGCCTTCCGGGCGTCATTTCATTTACCCTCGCAGCAGCCCCACCGGGTGGGTACTGATCTGTCTCTAGGGAGGGTGGGAGGGAGGCCCCGGAGGTCAGGGAACCCACCTGGGGCCTCAGGCCTGGCCTCTGACAGTAATACTGACCCCACCCCTCGGCCCCCCACCCCCACCGGCTGTGCCGGGAAGGAAGGAGACAGATGGACGGACTGGGGAAGGACAGGGAGTTAAATGGACGCAGCACCCTGGATGGGTGGCCTCCTCAGGCAGTGCTGGCCGGCGCCCTCCTCTGGTGGGAAGGGGCGTCGGGGGGAGAGAGCAGAGGCCCCCTACCTGGTGCTGGATGTAGGCGTGGATTCGCTCCAGCATCCCCTCACAGGTGTACTCATAGGGCAGGTAAGGGTCTACCTGTGGGACAGACAGGCAGACAGGGGGCAGGAGACCTGGTGCCAGGGCCCGGCCATGCTCAGCACTGGGAGCGGAGACCTGGCCCCTCTGCTCGGACTCCCTGCTCCTCAGGGCACCCCCCGGGGCTCCCCGGGGCTCAGGACCTAGGAGACCCAGGCCAGGCCCTCCCTCCCACGCTGGTCCCAGCCTCACTGAGCTTCCTCCTTCCAGTCATGCCAACGCTCCATCCGGTCACGGGCCCTGACGCCTCTTCCCACGGCCAACCCAGCCCGTCCACCTCCTCTCAGGCGACACCGCCTCCAGGAAGCCACCCGAGCGCCACCCGACCCGGGACAGGCCCAGGCCCACTGTCCTTCATGACCCCCAGACCCCCAGCGCCTGGGTCCTCGTTTCTTTTCTTTCCTTTTTGGTTTGTTACTCCTCACCCACGGCTGTTTTTCCATTGATTTTTAGAGAAGGGATCCCCCCACATGCTCTGCCTGCTCCCGGCAAACCCGGGCCACGTGGTGATGCAAAGGCCCCGCCAGCCAAGTCCCACCGGCCGCGGACCTCCCGCCAGAGGCGGCAACAGCCGGGGAGGGTCACCCATGGGGTGTAATTACAGGCGTGGCCGGTGCTGGTCCTGCTGGGAATATCGGCTGCAACAGTGAGAGGAGAGGCAGCAGGAGGCAGGCGCCCACAGGGCTTCCCGTCCCCTCACCTTGAATGGCCTCATCTGGACGGACAGGTGCCAACGGGCAAACCCACTGAGGCCGAGAGGTGACTGAAGGGCCCCCCCCCGGAGTGGGGGCCAGCGGGCTGGGGCCTCAGGTCTCCCTCACCCGTGCTCCTCACCCTCACACACGCCGGTGAGGGGGGCTCCGCGGTCACAGCCGCCGACCCCGGCCTGGGAGTCGGAATTCACCAGGAGGGCATCGCTTCCCAATGACAGCGAAGACGGCACGAGCTGGCGGTGCCGATGGGCCTGAGGCTCACCTGGGTCCTCATGATGGCCTTGAGGGCGGCCTCGAACTCCTCCGAGTTGTTGTAGTCCACGGTCCACACGTGGGGCCTGCCGATGAAGCTCTCGGCGTACGGGTGCTGCGAGAACACCTGGCGGGCAGGGGCAGCGGGTGTGCGGTGCCAGCGCCCCGCCCACCGGTCCCAGCGCCCCTTTGCTCCTCGGTCTCCCTCTTCCAGGCCCTGCAGGCTCCCCATCTCAGACCCTCAGATGGGGGCCTGGGTCCCCCCACTCACCTCCCTGGAGGTGGGCTTGCCTCGGAAGAACTCATGGTTGAGGGAGCTGTGGGGCGGGCTGAAGCGGGACTGCAGGAAGACACAGCCGTTGGCAATGGCCTCCAGGGGAGCGGGGCCCTCGTAGGGGAAGCCGAACCCGATGAAGAGCTGAAGAGCGAGGTGGTGCGGCCGTCAGGGAAGGTCAGGACCACACGCGGCCCCGGGAAGCAGGGGCGAGGTCGGGGTTGGGATGTTCGCTCACTCACAGGAGGCAATGGGGGTGGGGACGGGGGGGGGGGGGGGGGGGAAGAGAGCTCAGCCCAGCAGGTGTGGCTCAGGGGCTGAGCATCGAAGGTCACGGTTCCATTCCTGGTCAGGGCACGTGCCCAGGTTACGGGCCTGATCCCATGTGGAGCGTGCAGGAGGCAGCCGATCCATGATTCTCTCTCATCATTGATGCTTCTCTCTCTCTCTCCCTCTCCCTTCCTCTCTGAATTAAAAAAAAGGACAGCCCAGCCCAGCTGGGTGCCGCCCCCCTCCCCAGGCCTCGGTTTCCCCATCTGTGAAGCGAGGAGGCAGGTGAGGCGGTATCGGTGGCTCCGCTGCTCTGACAGCTGCTTCTGCAGGGAGGGGAAACGGCCCCGAGTCTAGGAGGCGTCAGACCCCACCTCAGCTGCCCCCAAAGGACCGTGACCATTCACCCCGCGAACATGAACCCCGCACTCACTCCTGCCAGGAGCGCGCCCGGGCTGAGTCCCGCAGGCGCCGGAGGATGACTGAACCGACGGGGCTGCCCCGCGAGGCTGTCCAGGCTGCTCGCTGCACAAAGGCGCCCTTCCCCCAACAACACGTGTGCCCCCCGTGAGCACAGAGCCAGCCGGCCGTCCACGCTGGGGGCCCCGCGGGGTGGCCGGCACCCCCGTGCCCGCGGCCGGGCTCACCTTCGCCTTGCGCAGCAGCTGCTGGAACTCGGGCTGCGGCAAGAGGCCGTGGTTCTTGACGAAGGCGGGGACCTCGGGGGGCCGCTGGCTCTCGTAGAACACGGTGCCGTGGACCTCCATGTGCTCACTCAGGATGCTCAGGACCTTCTCCTTCCCCTGGGGGACGAGGGGGAGGTGGGGGCCCCGCCCTGCCCCCGGGAGGCGGGGCAGCAGGAGGGAGAACCCTGGTCTGGCAACGGGAGGTGTGGGCCAGCCTTAGGTCGGCGGCCGCTCACCAGCTGTGCGGCCCTGGCACAGCCCCTCTCCTCTCTGCCCTCAACCCTCTGAGTCACTGTTCGCTGAACCTCATCCCAACCACCACCGTGTGGGGGTCATTCCACAAAACAACCACGTGATACGCAGGAGGAGGAGGGGCGGGAGGAGGAGGGAGCACGCGGCGTACAGTCCTACCTGGAGCTGCCTCATGGCCAGGGGGGCAGAGAAAAGAGGAGAGAGAGCAGGTCAGTGACGGGCGAGCAGGCAGCCTCCCCACCGGCAGCGCTTCTCCGGGACCCCGCCCTGAAAGTGGGGTGCCAATCCCTGGACCTCTCCCACCTTCTCCAAAGCCTCCCGTCCCACAGAACCCCCGAGTCTCGCCTAAGCCCCCTTCGCCATCCCAGGGAGAGGGGAGGGTGAAGTCACAGACCTTGGTCTGAGTTTGGGGCAGAGCAGGGATGGGGAGGGGGGCAAGGGGCCAGCCCCAGCCAGGCTGTCCCCACGGGGCCGTCTGGGGCAGGTGGGAGCGGGTCCGGGGGGGCCGCTCCGGGCAGGCGGGCGGGGCGCACCTTCCAGATGCTGGCCTCCTTGCCGTACACCACGGCCATGTTGCTGGCCTTGCCGGCCTTGATGAGCTGCTTCTCCGTCTCGTTCAGCTCCTCGGACACGAAGCCCATGAAGGAGTTGTCGGGGGTGTGAGCTGCAGCCAGAGCGCGGCCAGGAGGGCGTCACCCGACGGCCAGGGACACGCCAGGGTCTCCCAGGGCCGCCCACTTGGCAGGGATGGGAGGGGCTGGGGGTGGAAGGTCTTGTGGGGAGAGGGGGGAGGTCACCCATCCGCTGTCCCTCTGCCTGGGGTGCCCGCCTCCCCTTTCTGGGGTGAGGAATCCTACTCAGCCTTCAGGGCCGCACTCCCAGGAGCCTTTGTGGGACCCTCCCTTCGAGGCCCGCCCACTGGTCAGGTCTGTTAGAGCGAGGAGCGTGCTCTGACTTCCTTGTCCCCAAGCCCAGAGCCCCGAGCCCAGAGCCCAGAGCCCAGGGCCGGCGACACGCTGAGCTCCCACCGCAATTCCTCGCCGCTGGAGCTCGTCCCTGACTGTGTCTGCGGCCAGGGGTGGCCATGTAGGCACAGCGCCATCGTCCGCAAGGGCACGGCCCCTCCCTCCCGCACAGGGAGCTTGAGTGGAACAGCTACGGAGCCCGTGAAATCCACGCTGCCCTCCAGGGCGAGGCTGTGGCCTCCCCACAACCCTGACGCCAAACACCCCATGTTGTAGGTTCAGATGCATGTTGGCACATGCTGGCCTTTCATCAAACGTGTAGACTGAATGTCGTGTTTCTAACCTCACCCCCGGCCCCACAAAAAGCCGTAATCAGTATCTGGTGCATCTGAGAGGAGGGGATGGTTTGCTGTCGAAGGGCCCAGAAAGCCCACGGAACCTGGGCTGACGCTCCGACCACTGTCCGGTGAGGCGCTTGCTGGTTACAGGACAACACAGCTGTCCCGGGAGCGTCAGCCGCTAGAAGGTGGGGTCTGGAGTCGTTTCTGTGATGTCTCATGAGGCTCTGCCCAATCAGGGAGAGGTCCCAGGAGGGTGGACCAGACCCTCCCCGGCCCCATTGGCCTGCCCAGCCCCCTCCTCTCTCCCTCCCCTCTGGCTCCAGCCGGGGCTGCCACCCAGGCCTCTCCCTGATCCACTCCTCCCTATTCTCTGAGCTGAAGACTCAATCCCTCATTCCGCCCCCTCCCCCAGGAGGGGCAGGTTTAGGACCCACTGGGCATGGGACAGGAAGTACTGCAACCAATGAAAATAACAGGGAGCTGTGGGGCGGGCAGGGGTGAGGCCAGGGCAAGGGGCCGGCGGGGCAGGGGGGGGGGGGGCGGGCAGCCAGTCTCCCAGCTGGCTCAGGGGGAACTGACCGGCCTGATGGGGAAGGAGGGCGGCTTGTGATTTGCTTCCCGCACTTGGTATGTCATTAAAGCCGCACGCCTCTCTGGTTTTTGTTTTTTTCTCTCTTTAATGTATTCAACCAATTAACATTTTCTGAGGACCTCAAGGGCTTTAGGGAAATAAAGATAAATTAGCCAGTGGCCCCCTTTTTAGTGATTCATAATCTATCAGCGGAAGTAAATGCATTTGCAAATAACTCTCATATAATTCAATATAGGCTTTAACCGAATTAGGTGTATTTAAGAGTTCTAAAAACATTCTGCCTGGAATAGGAGACCGGGGGATCACTGAAAGTGATGGCAAAGAGGAAACATTTGACTTGGGGTTTTGGAGGATGAGTAGGAGTTTGCCAGGTCTGGACCCCCACATCCAGAGGGCTCCACCCCAGGACAAGTGCTTACTTTATCCATGTAGGTTATGACAGGAGCCTCTTAACCCATCTCCTGCTTCCCTCTCGTTTGCCACTGCTCCTTTGGTCATCAGAAGTCGGCCAGAATAATAATGTGCCTCAAAAAACCTTTTCTCGCCCGGCCGGTGTGGCTCAGTGGTTGAGCACCGACCTATGAATCAGGAGGTCATGGTTCAATTCTGGTCAGGGCATGTGCCAGGGTTGTGGGCTCCATCCCCAGTGGGGGGTTGGGGGCGGTGTGCAGAAGGCAGCTGATCCATGATTCTCTCTCATCACTAATGCTCCTATCTCTCTCTCCCTCTCCCTTCCTTTAAAATTACTTAAATTTTTTTTTAATTAACAAAAACCAAAAACCTTTTCTCCAGGACATTTCCTAGCTCAAGAACCTGCAGTGAACCTGGAATTACAGGACCCAATGTGAACTAGGAACCTGTGCTCAAAGGCCCCTCCCCTCTGCCCCTGGCCTCCTGGCCTCTTACCGGCCTCATGGCTCACAGCCCAGGGCCCTCGGCTGTCACAATTGCTGTTCCCGCCACTTCCTTTCCCTCCAGCATCTGCTCCTCGGACCGCCCCACCCCCGTCACTCACTCTCCTGGGAGCCCCCGTGCCCAGGTGACCTGTGAGGACAGTCCCCCTCCTCTCGGGTGAGCCCTGCGATGGGCCTGGGGAGGCGTCTGTGTGCCCTCACCTGGCACGCCCTGCCTCTCCCGGCCTGTTTCCTCATCTGGGCCCCAAGGAACGTTCCCGCCTTCCAACCGCGTGGGATCCAATCAAGCCAAGACATAGGGACCCAGAAGCCACGCCTGCTCTGACAGCACAGCCTGGGACCCGGAGGGCACGCCCGGGAAGGCCCCCGGCACCCGGAAGAGACATGTGGACAGGAGAAATAAAGACCAGCTGCTTTCCTTCTGGCAAGTTCCTCGGGACCCTGCTCAGAACCCGCCTGCTCTTAACTGAGACCAGTCCTGGCGAGGGCGCTGCCGGGCTCTGACCCCGAGCCCCCACCGAGCCGCAAATCAGACGCGTGAGATGCTGCTCGAGGCAGGTACCCGCGCCCATTCCAGTGACAGCGACAGCCAGCAGCTCCCGGAAAGAAGGAAGCGCCCCTTCCAACAGCATGGGAGGGGCCACCCCCCCTTCCCCAGCCGGGCAGGCAGAGAGCTGCCCTGAACGGCCAGGAACAGGTTCATTCGCTCCCACGCGCTGCGGTGAAGAGGGCAGTCAGGGCGTCCATGCCTTAGTCTCACTAAAAACAGCTCAGCTCAGCTCAGCTCTCAGCGCCTTGGTTGCCTGACGCCCAGATCCGAGGGTTTCCACACACGGGGGCCCCGCCGCTACCCACAGCCTCGCTGCCCATTGTGCCCTGGGCGGAGCTCTTGCATTCCAGAACCTGCCAGTCCCTTCCACGTCCATTTCAGTCCGTTTCACTACATCCGTTCCCTCCGCTTAGGGCAGCCTGGCTGTCCCGCCCTTCGCCGCCCAGGCCGCCCGTGGCCTCGCTCTGGAAGGCCCCGGAGGGCAAGGCCAGGCTCTGCCGGTGTCAGAAAGGTCCCCACGGTTCCCCAAATCCGGGCTGCTCCCACCCCGCTCCGTCTCTGGCTCACACATTTGCTGGAAGGGGAGCAAGGCTCTCCTGGAGGAGGCCGAGGCCTGGCATGTGCCCCCGGCACCGGGGAAGGAGGAGAGCCCGCCTCCCAGATGCCACGGCAGGAACCACGAGGGCCCCATCTCCCCGCCCCCACCCCCCCAACCGCCCGGCGGCCGGGACACTCACGGAACATGGTCATGAACTGCTTGGGGTTGAGGTTCCAGTAGCCCCAGTTGGTCCGGTAGCCGTGCAGCGTGGCGTACTCCTCGTGGTTGTACGCAGGTTCCGTCCCGAAGGTGTCGATGACCCGGATCCGGCACCTGCCCGGGGGATGGGGAACCAGAATCAGCAACCTCAGGCTCTCCCTGGGCCGGGGTGCCCCAGCCGTGGGTGGTACCGTGTGAGAGCCTGGGCTCAGACACAGAGCTGTGTGACACGGGCAGGCACCCTAACCTCTCTGGCCGCTTCCCCATCTGTCAAGTGGGGCTAACAACAGCCCAGTGCTCTCAGGGCCGTTGGACCGCTAATTCAGATTGTCACCTGTTATGGCTGCCCCTACGGGGCCTACGAGGGGAGGACTGCCGGGGGTGGGGTCCCCCCACGGTCCCAGGGGTCCCCTGTACAATTTGCACTTTCCAGGGAGTTCGAGTCCACAGCCCTCTGCCCAGGAGCCTGCACCCCCAGGCTGTGCCTGGCCTATCCCAGCTGAGGTGCAGAGGGCGGCCCGGGACCAGCCGCTGCGGGCACGCCTTGGGGCAGGCAGCACCGCAGGTCCCCCCTCCAGTCTGGCCGCGTCAGGGGGCCCTCCCAGCTGAGCAGAGGCTCTGTCCCCACCTGAGGCTGTGCCCAGTGGCCGCAGCCCCCCTCCCTCCGGCCCCCCCGGGAGTGGGCACCTGGGACTCACAGGCCTCCTTCCCGGGACCCAGGGTGGGCCACGGACTGCTGAGGCCGGCACTCCTGCCGGAGAAGGTGAGGGGGGCGGAGGAGCGGGTGTGTGGAGGGCACATTCATAATAAAAGCAATAACGCTGCTTGTCGCTTTTTTCCCTAATGAAACCGTGAGGGACCGTCCATGAGCGGGGAGCAGGCGTCATGCCTAGCCGGCTCCTGCGCTAAATTAAACCCGAGCCCACTGTCTGCAAGACCGAGCATGGACTGGCCTTCCTGCGGGGGGGGGGGGGTGCTGAGAGCCCCCCACAGAGGGCCCAGCACAGGGCACTATCCCCATCCCCTCCCCTCCCCTCCCTGCACTTCCTCCCTGCCCCTCCCTCGGCCTGCCACGCAGCAGAGGGCCACTGGCCACGCGTGTGGTTCCTTGTCACTGGGGCAGCCGGGGGCGGGGGGCGGCGGGGGGGGGGGCAGGGCTCCTTGGAGAAGGGAGGGGGAGGGGAGGACAGAGACAGGGAGACCAGGCCCAGGCGCTCCCCAGGGCGTGGAGGGGGTGCCGTACAGGTCCCCACCCCGCCCCTCTCCCCCCTCACCGGTACTTCCTGAAGGACAGCCCCATGTGCTGCCTCATCTGCTGCAGGCCGTGGTAGTCGGTGTAGATGAGGTCGAAGGGCAGGGGCACGGTGAGCGGGCAGTTCCCGCGGCCCGGCGGCACCCCTAAGTTACTGAGAGAAGAGCCGGTCAGCGTCTGAGCCCCAGGGGACCCCCAGGCCGCAGAAACCCACCTTCCCAACCGGCCCTGTGTCTGCAGTACCTGAGCCCGCCCCCCCCCAGATCCCACAGCCCAGGACAGGTGCGGGCAGGGAGGGCAGGGAGGGCGCCGTAGGAGACGCACTGGCACAGGGAGGGGGCAGGGCGGCCTGCACGGCCTGCAGGTTCTTCACCCCAACGAGGGGCAGGTGGGCCCAGAGGAAGGGGTGCCTTTGCTAATTCCCACACGCGTGCTCCCTGCAGGCCTGTCCGCCAGAGCGGGCCTTCTCCGTCCCTAGGAGCCACCGTGCAGCCGCAGGGTTTGGAGCGGAAGCGCCCGAACCCCCCACCCGCCTGCCTCAAGTATAATTCTGCGCTGCTGGCTGGCACCTGGCCCCGGAGATGCCCGGCCCTGCCCGCAGGGCACCCAGCTGCCAGCTCGTTCACGTGAGAGTTTCCATCCGGGATGGAGCTGCCTCCGGGGCCGGAGCCTTGGGGTCATCTCACTGGAGCCCGAAGGACATGGGCAAAGCTGCCAGTGAAACTCCTGCCAGGACCCCCCTGCCCACCATGCAGGGCCCCTGCCCAGCCTGCTGTCGCCCCCACCCTGCAGGGTGACAGGCTGAGACCCTCACTCAGAGTCTGTGCTGAGCCCTGAGCCAGGGGAGCCCCCTCTCTCCTCCCCCCACAGCAGCTGCCCCCCCCCCCCCGCCAGTTCTGTGGTCCAGAAGCCGCGCTGGAAGGCGCATGAGAACCCCCGGAGCCCCTTTGGGGACCCGTGAGAAGCATTCCTGGGCCCGAGGGCCAGCGCGGACCTGCTGGCGGCCTTGACCGACCCCGAATGTCCCGTGTCCGCCTCCTCCCCCACGCGGTGCTCGGCGGATCCCCCGGACCTCTCCGGCTAAAAATCCTCAGGCTTATTTCTCCCTGGGCCTGTGGTCCGAGGCTGGAAATAACCTCTCCAGGCAGCGCTCCAATTCTGGGACAAACGAGTCATCGCCCTCCCTCCGCTGTGGGAAGGACCTCATGGAAAAGCCTTCTTACAAAGTGCGCCAGGATCGTCCGCTCCGGGTGCTCACACGCCGAGGCCGGATCCGTCTCATTTCGGGAGCCCAAGGCGGACCCTCTGCCCTGCCCAGGCCCCCTGAGCACCAGGGCACTGCCCGGCTCTCTCCCACGGCCGTGAGGACAGCAGGCCACTGCCTCTCCCCAAGCGGCCGCGGGGCTAACTGGGCATCCAAGGAGCTGCTTTGGGAAGGGGGTGGGATCACCAACGAGGCCCTGAAATGCTGCCTAGGTTTTTCCTATCCCTCGGCAATTTCACCGACACTTGAATTCCATTCTAAGTGCTGGGCCCATCACCCAGCCCCTCCACGTGGCACCTCTAATTCAACCTGGTCTGAGCCCAAATTCAAGGTCTTCCCCAGGCTTTCCTCTCCTCCCGCCCTCAGAGAACGGCCGCCCGGCGTCCGGCGGCTGCTTGGGGCTGGCTCGTGCGGCCTGGTGAGCCAGTCCCGGCCACATCTGAGTGGGTTCAAACCCCAGGCCTGGCCCCGGCTGGATCCTCAGAGAGTCTAGCCCAGCCGTGGGCAAACTACGGCCCGCGGGCCGGATCCGGCCCGTTTGAAATGAATAAAACTAAAAAAATAAAAGACCGTTCCCTTTTATGTAATGATGTTTACTTTGAATTTATATCAGTTCACACAAACACTCCATCCATGCTTTAGTTCCGGCCCTCCGGTCCAGTTTAAGAACCCATTGTGGCCCTTGAGTCAAAAAGTTTGCCCACCCCTGGTCTAGCCAGAGGCGGCTCGGTCAAGCCGGGCTGGGTGGGATGGGGTCCCTGCCTTCGTCATTCTCTGGGGACCCCTGCCGGGACTTCCCTTGGACAAAAATGGAGCAACCAAAAGGCAGGACGCCGATTTCCATTGGGGCCGCGAGCGTGACAGCCCAGTTTCCGCTCCGTCCCCCTTCCTTAGACATCCTCCTCTCCAGGCCCATCGTCTGCCAGTTAAGTCAGCTAATTTCCCACTCAACCCAATCTCACTCATGGGTGGAGGAAGAGCCTGGTAATTTTTCCTCGGGCCATGTCCTGTTAATGATGCTTGAAATTATGCAAATGAAATTGATGAGCACAGCCAATTCTGGGCAGGCGGGAAAGGGAAAGCTTCCTTTAAAATGCCTGCTGTGGCCTGGCCGGCGTGGCTCCGTGATTGAGCGTCAACCCATGAACCAGGAGGTCACAGTTCCATTCCCGGTCTGGGCACAGGCCCGGGTTGCGGCCTCGATCCCCAGTAGGGGGCATGCAGGAGGCAGCCCATCAATGATTCTCGTCATTGATGTTTCCAATTCATGAGGATAACTTGGGGTGCTGCCCAGGAGGGCTCTGGCTTCTCCCTCCTCCCCAGCGAGAGCGGGCGGCTCACGGGAGGGGCTGTCTGACATCATCTCTCTCGCCCCGGAAACCAGGTGCGGACTGTGCATACTGCCCCCAACATCACTGCGATGAGCCGGTTAATTAAAACACCAGCGCGCGGGGAGCGGAGAACGCGGCTCGTCCCGCTGCTCGGCAGCGGCCAGACATCTGCCGTGAACATCTGTGGATGAGCTGCAGCGAATGTCCCCGCAGCGTCTGTCCCCGCGTCCCCGCACAGGCCATCTCCCAGCCCAGGGAGAGGCCTCTGTCGCAGAAGCCGAGCCGCAACGCTCAGAATTCAGATGACCTCACATCCCGTTGACCTATTTTCAAATTAACTCGGTGCCGCTCGCATGGAACGGCTCCCCGAGGCCGGGAGGCAAGGCTGCGGGGAAGCCCCCCTCCTCCTGCAGAACCCGCGGCAACGCCACACGTGTAGCCCACGCTATCTCCGTCCCAAACCCCTTTCCGCTCAAACGGTCACCATCTTGCTATGGGATGCATTGTGCCCCCCCAATTCCATATGTTGGAGTCCTAACCCCCAGCACCCAGAATGTGACCTTATGTGGAGGCAGGTCTTTACAGAGGTCACCAAGTTGACATGCGGTCACCAGGGTGGGCCCTCATCCGCCGTGACCAGCATCCTTATAAGACACAGAAATCTGTCCAGCCAGCCCGGCTCAGTTGGTTGAGCGTCAACCCAGGCACCAGGAGGTCACCAGTTCGATTCCCGGGCAGGGCACATGCCTGGGTTGCGGCTCGATCCCCAATGTGGGGCGTGCAGGAGACAGCTGATAAATGTTTCTCTCTCATCAACGTTTCTACCTCTCTCTCCCTTTCCCTTCCTCTCTCTGAAGTCAATTTTTAAAAAAAAACATATTTGTTTTTAAAAAAGAGGAAATTTGGATAGAGACACAGGCACAGGGAGAAGGCCACGTGAGGATGAAGGCAGAGGTCTCGGCGATGCTTCTACAAACCAGTGAACGCCAAGGACCCCGAAGCAGGGGAGAGGCCTGAGGCAGTCCCCAGACCCCGCACAGCCCGGGAAGGACCCGCCCTGCCGACACCAGGGCGCTACACCCTCATCGGGACTTCCCCTCCAGACGGAGACAATAAATGCTGCTGTCGGGTCCTCCAGCAACTCAGCAAACCCTCCGCATCTGTACCGGAGTCCCCGCGGGAGGAAAGGGCTGGCCCTGTACCTGAGGGTGGTCCCGGCCAAGAATGAGCCTGAGGGGCTCACAGCCCCAGCCCACACCTGTCACAGGAAAAACGTACGACCAAGAAAGGGCGTGGCACAAAGCACAGGCTCCCACCTGATGCCCCCACCCCACGATCCGGGCCACCTCCCAGGGTGCCTCCTCGGCCTGCCCCCTCCGCCTGGCTCCACCCCTGTGGCCACGGGGATCGGGAATGCTTTCGGGTGCAAACGTGGGCGGGGAGGAATCTGCACTCTTTCTACACATCTTCTAGGACCTGAGCCCCCACGCCCGCCCTGGGGACAGAGGACAGCTCTTTGCATAAGCCATGGGACCAGTTCACGCCTGTCAGCGTCCCAACCCCACAGCTATCCCCCCACTGACCGGGTATGGGGGCGGGGGTGTGCTTAGAGGAGCCACAGCCTGGACTTCCCCATCTCAACCCTCACCGCTCATGAGGTCACCGGGTTCTTTGTAACTTGGTCCCCCCCAGACCCATGAAGTCAGAGGCACCAGGAGTGGGCCCCACCGCCGTGTTTTTCCGCGAGGCTCTGCTGCAGCCGGGCTGACTCCCCACGGAAACCGGCTCCGCCCCCAGCCCTGCTGTGACTCCTGCAGACATGACTGTCTAACGGCCTCTGGGGCCGTGGTTTTCTTTCTTTTTATTATTTGAGTTGTTTAAAAATGATATCTGATAACATATTCCAAAAACACCGTCCTGGGGCCATTTCCCGAGGGCGCTGAGCTGTTCACGCAACCCTGCCCTGTGTGAGCAAGGCGTGCGTTCGCACCTACACCCGTGAGGACCGGGCAGAGCCGCCCGGGCCAGCCCTGCGCCTGCCCGTCTCGCAGACTGCGCGTCGGAGGCGGGAGCACCTCTCCCTGCAGCCCCTGCTTCTGGGAATTTCCGACCCACAAAAGGCCGGCAGGAAGCAATGCGACGGTGGGAAGATACGGATCTTCTGTGGGGTGTGCATGTGGGGGTGCCTGTGGGGGCGCACACAGGCGCAGTGTGGTGCCTGTCATGCACAGGGGGTTGCATGTGTGTGGAGGTGTGCAGATGCATGTAGAAGTGTGCATGGGTGTGCCTGTGTGCACAAGCACAGGGTATGCACAGCATATACATACACACATGTGAGCACATACATGGGTGTGTGTGGGTGTGCACAGTGGTATGCATGTGCACATGTGTGCGCACGTGGGTGCACGTGTGTAGAGGAAGAAATGGCGGCAGGGGCGTATTTCAGATCGTGGGACTTTTCAGCAGGGCCTCGCTGTCAGGGGCTCCCCATCTTCACGCTCTGGCCCTGTGATGGGCGATGACAGCCTGGCCCATGGCTACCCACAGCTGCTGGCTGTGCCATCCATGGCTTCTTGGGCTGCCCACACACCGGTCCCTCTTCTCCCTCCTCCCCTCACGCTCGCCCCATCTGACTCCCTGCAGGAGCGTCGAGGGCAGGGAAATGCCTCCTCTCAGGCCGTTTCCAAGGGAGCTGGGCAGGCGTTAGCTGCCCTGCAGCGCTCGGCTCCAGAGGGAGGGGGTGGGCACAGCACTGAGCAGCACGGCGCGCTGGTGGGCGGCGAGTGGGCACACCCAGCTCTGAAGTGGCCTGCACGGTGTGAACAGCTTGGCATGGCAACAAAATGCCACCGGGGCAAGAGCCAGAGGGAGTGACGGGCTGGCTCCCTCTACCAGCTCCAGCCCTGGGGACAGCTCCCTGCCCCGTTCCTTCCAGCTCAGGTGCAGTTCGGCCAGACAGGGCGGAGGTGCTATTTCAAGGCGGCACCCTGTGCCCCAGAACCTGGGATGGTGCTCCCCAGCGCTGCCACACCGTGTAGCCCAGCCGCTGGTCAGTCACAGTCACCACCCTCACTTACATGTGCCTCCTGGCGCACACAGCCCCACCCTCTAACCACCAGTCTCCTGCCTCCCACTGCATCAGAGCGACCTGGAAAGGCAAGACCGGGGAAGGAGTGGGCGTCGCCAGCCCAGCTCACACCCTCCAGGGCTTACTGGCCTCCAGCCCCCAGACAGGCCCAGGAAGGAGCCCGGTTCCGGAAGAGAAACTGCGTCTCCCCAAGACCAGCGGGCAGAGGGGACCCCACTTCCACGACATGGCTCCATCCCACTGGCCAGTATTAGTCACCCCCTGAGCACAAACACCGGGCACCGGCCGGCCCAGAGATGGAGAACTCAATCGGAGAACTCAGCAGCGTGAGCAGCACAGTGAGAGCAGCACAGTGTGAGCAGCACAGTGAGAGCAGCACAGTGTGAGCAGCACAGTGAGAGCAGCACAGTGTGAGCAGCACAGTGAGAGCAGCACAGTGAGAGCAGCACAGTGTGAGCAGCACAGTGAGAGCAGCACAGTGTGAGCAGCACAGTGAGAGCAGCACAGTGAGAGCAGCACAGTGTGAGCAGCACAGTGAGAGCAGCACAGTGAGAGCAGCACAGTGTGAGCAGCACAGTGACAGCAGCACAGTGTGAGCAGCACAGTGAGAGCAGCACAGTGAGAGCAGCACAGTGAGAGCAGCACAGTGAGAGCAGCACAGTGAGAGCAGCACAGTGAGAGCAGCACAGTGAGAGCAGCACAGTGACAGCAGCACAGTGAGAGCAGCACAGTGACAGCAGCACAGTGAGAGCAGCACAGTGACAGCAGCACAGTGTGAGCAGCACAGTGAGAGCAGCACAGTGAGAGCAGCACAGTGAGAGCAGCACAGTGTGAGCAGCACAGTGAGAGCAGCACAGTGAGAGCAGCACAGTGACAGCAGCACAGTGTGAGCAGCACAGTGAGAGCAGCACAGTGTGAGCAGCACAGTGAGAGCAGCACAGTGAGAGCAGCACAGTGTGAGCAGCACAGTGAGAGCAGCACAGTGAGAGCAGCACAGTGACAGCAGCACAGTGACAGCAGCACAGTGAGAGCAGCACAGTGAGAGCAGCACAGTGAGAGCAGCACAGAGAGAGCAGCACAGTGTGAGCAGCACAGTGAGAGCAGCACAGCGAGAGCAGCACAGTGTGAGCAGCACAGTGTGAGCAGCACAGTGAGAGCAGCACAGTGAGAGCAGCACAGCGTGAGCAGCACAGCGAGAGCAGCACAGCGTGAGCAGCACAGCGAGAGCAGCACAGCGTGAGCAGCACAGCGAGAGCAGCACAGCGAGAGCAGCACAGTGTGAGCAGCACAGCGAGAGCAGCACAGTGTGAGCAGCACAGTGAGAGCAGCACAGTGAGAGCAACACAGTGTGAGCAGCACAGTGAGAGCAGCACAGTGTGAGCAGCACAGTGTGAGCAGCACAGTGAGAGCAGCACAGTGTGAGCAGCACAGTGTGAGCAGCACAGTGAGAGCAGCACAGTGAGAGCAGCACAGTGTGAGCAGCAGTGAGAGCAGCACAGTGAGAGCAGCACAGTGAGAGCAGCACAGTGTGAGCAGCAGAGAGCAGCACAGTGTGAGCAGCAGAGAGCAGCACAGTGTGAGCAGCAGAGAGCAGCACAGTGTGAGCAGCAGAGAGCAGCACAGTGTGAGCAGCACAGTGAGAGCAGCACAGTGTGAGCAGCACAGTGAGAGCAGCACAGTGTGAGCAGCACAGTGAGAGCAGCACAGTGTGAGCAGCACAGCGTGAGCAGCACAGTGTGAGCAGCACAGTGAGAGCAGCACAGTGAGAGCAGCACAGCGAGAGCAGCACAGCGAGAGCAGCACAGTGTGAGCAGCACAGTGACAGCAGCACAGTGACAGCAGCACAGTGACAGCAGCACAGTGTGAGCAGCACAGTGACAGCAGCACAGTGACAGCAGCACAGTGACAGCAGCACAGTGTGAGCAGCACAGTGACAGCAGCACAGTGACAGCAGCACAGTGTGAGCAGCACAGTGACAGCAGCACAGTGACAGCAGCACAGTGACAGCAGCACAGTGTGAGCAGCACAGTGAGAGCAGCACAGCGAGAGCAGCAAAGCGAGAGTAGCACAGCGTGAGCAGCACAGTGAGAGCAGCACAGTGAGAGCAGCACAGTGTGAGCAGCACAGTGAGAGCAGCACAGTGTGAGCAGCACAGTGAGAGCAGCACAGTAAGAGCAGCACAGTGAGAGCAGCACAGTGAGAGCAGCACAGTGTGAGCAGCACAGTGTGAGCAGCACAGTGAGAGCAGCACAATGTGAGCAGCACAGTGAGAGCAGCACAGTGTGAGCAGCACAGTGAGAGCAGCACAGTGTGAGCAGCACAGTGTGAGCAGCACAGCGAGAGCAGCACAGTGTGAGCAGCACAGTGAGAGCAGCACAGTGAGAGCAGCACAGTGAGAGCAGCACAGTGAGAGCAGCACAGTGAGAGCAGCACAGTGTGAGCAGCACAGTGAGAGCAGCACAGTGTGAGCAGCACAGTGTGAGCAGCACAGTGAGAGCAGCACAGTGAGAGCAGCACAGTGTGAGCAGCACAGTGACAGCAGCACAGTGTGAGCGCACAGTGAGAGCAGCACAGTGAGAGCAGCACAGTGAGAGCAGCACAGTGCGAGCAGCACAGTGTGAATACGCTTCCCTGGCGCATCCCAAACGTGGCCAGGGGCCCTGTCGGGAGGAGGAGGTGGGTGAGACTGAGCACGCGGAGCAGGGCTCCGGGGGACGGGCTCCCCTTCCGGGCACTCACCTCTGCAGCTCCTTCAGGGACACTGTGACCCGCAGGCCGTGGCCCAGGACGTAGAGAGCGGCCAGGATGTCCGCCCACTGCACCATCTCCCCCAGAGGCCCGCCCTTCAGCACCCTCGGGCTGAACACGTCCCCAGACTCCTCCGTCAGGAAGCCGATGTGGACGAGGATCTGCGGGGACACAGAGGGTCAGCACGGAGGAGAGACAGCCCTGCCACCCAGGGAGACCCAGCCAGCAGCAGACACCGTCTCCAAGCTGGGCCTGGGCACGTGGGGGAGCCAAGGGGCAGAGTGACCGTGCTGGGCACTGGGGCTACAGTGAACAAGACAGTCACATCCTGCCCTCACGGCGCTTACGTTCCAGATGGAAGAGGAGACAACAGTGAACACAGACAAGAGAGAATTTCATGAAATGATAGGGACTCTGAAAGAAACAGACAGGATGATGGGAGTCAGGTAAGTATTTATTGGATGGATGATGGATGGATGGATGATGGATGGTGGATGGATGGATGGATGGATGATGGATGGTGGATGGATGGATGGATGGATGGATGATGGATGGATGATGGATGGATGGATGGATGGATGGATGGGATGGATGGATGATGGATGGATGGATGATGTGGGGGGATGGATGGGATGGATAATGGATGGTGGATGGATGGAGGGATGATGGATGGTGGATGGATGGATAATGGATGGTGGATGGATGGATGGATGGATGATGGAGGTGGATGGATGGATGGATGGATAATGGATTGGATGGATGGATGGATGATGGATGGTGGATGGATGGATGGATGGATAATGGATGTTGGATGGATGGATGGATGGATGGGTGGATGATGGATGGTGGATGGATGGATGGATGGATGGATATGGATGGTGGATGGATGGAATGATGGATGGTGGATGGACTGGATGATGGATAATGGATGTGATGGATGGATGGAGATGGATGGTTGGATGATAGATGGATGGGTGATGGATGGATGGATGGATGGATGGATGGATAATGGATGGTGGATGGATGGATGGATGATGGATGGTGGATGGATGGATGCATGGATGATGGGTGATGGATGCATGGATGATGGATGGATGCATGATGGATGGATGGGTGATGGATGGATGGATGAACCAATGAACCCTCCCAAAACAGGCTATACCCTTCCCAACCTTCCAGACAAAGGCCACGACATTTCCGCCCAACAAGAACCAGATGTCTACAGAATGTAGGGCCTTTAAGGGGTAGGATCTTGACTTTCCCAAACCTGAAAAGGCCTCAGGCCACAATGTGCCTCTAACCTGCCTTTGCCTCCCCTCCCCTTTCCGGCTCAAATTCAAATAAATTCTATAAAACTCTTTCGAGGGCACACCCAGTATCCCCTTGGAGCCCTGGGGCCCTGTGCTCACTTCCTAAGCGTTCTGGGCTCAGCCCCCTGGACACGGACAGGGGGTCAGGTACCTGCTTCTGGTCCCTCTGGGCACCCCCCAGCTTCCGTGCCAGGCGCTGGGCAGCCAGTGCCCACTGGGCCGTGAGCCGCCGGGTCCGTTTCTTCATGAAGATCAGAGACTCCTTCCCGCTGCCCATCAGGCCCAGGAGGTGGGACAGGTCGCTCCGGAAAACCGCCTGGAGGGGAGGCCAGTCCTCGGCTCTCACTCTCAGCCCCGCAGCCGCGCCATCGCCACCCCCTGCTGCCCGGGGGACGGGGCTGGCACCTCCCGCAGGCTGGGCCTGCTCTGGCTTCTCCCGCACTTTCTTAGCGGCCCACTAGCCCCACAGTGGGGGCCCCTGCTCCCCCTCCCCAGTCACGCAGGCCTGTCTGGAGCCTCAGGAGCTGCTCGGCTGTCACAGTCCCCAGGGACCCAGGCGCTGCCAGGAGGCAGGAAGGGCAGTGGTCAGGGCAGGGCCCGAAGGCCAGGGAGGCCGTGCCGCCTTCCCGGGGAACCAGATAACCGTGCCTTGAACTAGCTCAACTCTCTGGACCTCCAATCCATCATCTGCTAAACTCATCACATCAGGGCCCCGGAAGGTTCAAGTACAGAGTACCTGGCACACAGGAGGCCCTCAAGGAGGGCAGCTACTGTTACTGTTATTCTAGTCCATTAAGGGGGAGCCTCTAGGGCCCCAGATTTGCGGCATCCCCAGAAGGTGGGTGGGCACTGTCAGGCTGGCTTCCTGTCTGGCAGGGCGAGCTGGGAGCTGCCCACCCACCGGGCAGGACGCCAGGGGCCAAGGGTGTCCGGCCTGGAGAGGCCAGATGACCCCGCCACAACGCCCTCATGAGCCCACCCACTCCCGGGCCTACCTGGGCCTTGGGGAGGGGCTTGGGGGCCGCCTGCGTGGCCGTCTGGTTCCTCCAGGGCAGCGGGGGGCAGAACCACTCGACCTCGCTGAGGTAGATGAGGAAGGAGCACTCGGTGCCGTCCACCCCGAAGAAGGCGTAGCAGGGGTCAGACGTCCAGCGGGCGCGCATCCACTGCGAAGAGGCCAGCCTGGGTCCGGGAGCCGGGCCGCCCGCACGCACCCTCGCGCGCCCCCTGCACACACGGCCCTGAGGATCCCAAGGTCCCCCGGGACGGGGACGGGCCTCTGGGGCCCACCCTACAGATGCACCGAAGGGCAGAGCAGGGAAGAGAAGCTGAACCAGGCCCCCAGGCCCCTGGCCCGGCCCGGGAACCTCAGGGAGGGCCAGGCCAGACGGCCACCCTCCAGGTCCAGAGAGAGACCCCGGGGAAACAAAGCCAGGCCGGACACGGCGGGAGGGGCGGCAGCTGGGCCTCGCTGCGTCCACTGGGCCAAGGTCAGAAGCAGCCCAAGGGCCGGGGCTGGGGCAGGACACCCACAGTGCTCCGCGGGGAGGGGTCCGGGGTGCCGCCCCACCCTCTCAGGGAGCCCAGAACCAGTGAGGAGCTGCTTTTACGGCCACGCGCTGCCCCATGGACAGACTTCCTGCAGCCGTCGGTCCCGGGAGGTGGGCCCCCGAGAGGGAGTCTCGGTGCAGCTGGTTAAACCCCGAGTGGTGAGGAGAGACCACGTCCCCTCCTCGTGTGAATTTGCTGGGAACCGGGCTGCTGGAGGAGCACCCGTATATTTAACAGCTCGTTTGCTGTAAAAAGGGATAGAACGTGGCTCAGCCTGGGACTGGGGGGTGGGCCAGGCCGATGGCCCTCACAGAGACGCAGTTACCCCGAGGTTGGCCCTGCCCGCCAGCGCCAGGGTCAGGGTGGGGGCCTGGGCAGGGAGGCCCTAGCTAGCGGACAGCCCTGCCAGCGAATCCCAGAGCTCGTCTGGGGGTGGCCCCCACGGAGGAGCCCCCTTCCTGGCCACCCCCACCCCCGGCCTCAGCCCCAGGCCTCACCTCCACCTTCCCCGAGCAGTCAGGAAACTTGGGGTCACTGGGCGCCTCACACTGGTCCCGCCGGCCTTCAGACACTGGGGAGAGAAGGTCATCTTGCTGAGGACCCGGGCCTGGGCCTGACCCCGAGGGGAGAGGCGTGAGGACCCGGGTCTGGGCCTGACCCCGAGGGGAGAGGCGTGAGGACCCGGGTCTGGGCCTGACCCCGAGGGGAGAGGCGTGAGGACCCGGGTCTGGGCGGGGAGGGGGGGCAGGAGCTGGCACAGCCTTCAGTCTGCGTTTTCTCACCTGAAGGCCACCCGCCAGGAGGCCCCCAGGCCTAGGCTGCCCCCTCCTTAGGGGGTTCAGACCCAGTGAGGAGCTGGCTATGGATCAGCCGCCTGGATGGGCAGACCTCATGCACCCAAATGTACCCCCACTTTTCTCAGGGGCAGAGGTGGGGCCTACAGCCCCCAATTGCTGTTCCCACATCGAGGGGAATGGAGGGGCCACCTGAGTCTCCAGGGACCTATCCTCAGCACCCTCATGGCAGGTCAGGGGGGTGGGACCCCATGTCGCCCTGCGGAGAACCTAGGGTGCCCTGCGGGAGAAGGCAGGGACACCGAGGCCATCCCGGCCAGGTACACTGGCTCCGGGGAAGGGGTGCCCTGGCCCATCCTTGCTGTGCAGGACCAGGCTGTAGGGCCCTGAGGGGAGGGGGAGGAGAGGGGAAGGGGGAGGGGAGGAGAGGAGAGGGGAAGGGCCGGGCTCACCCTTGCTGTGCAGGACCAGGCTGTGGCGCAGGATCTGGTCCACCTTCACGGCGATGTCGGAGACGTTCTGCGCGATGGCCTGGATCCGCTCCATGAGGCCGGCCCCCGGGGGCAGCCTGCGGGGAGAAGCCAGGGCTGAGCGGGAAGCCTGCCGGGGACCTGCCCGGGACTCCCGGCTCCCGGCTCAGTCAGCGAGCACAGGGCAAGGCTGCAGGCTGCCAGGCCGCCACCCCGCCATGCACGGAAAGGCAGTGACGGCAAAGCCGGGCCAGGACACGGAGGGGCCTCTGAGCACGCAGCGCGCAGACACTGCGTCACATGCCGAGCCCACCTGGCCAGGCGTGTCTGCACGGGTGTCAGAGGGCAGTGCCCGAGGCCCAAGCAGCCTGAGAAATTCCTTCAAAAACCAGGACGGCCCGGCCGCATGGCTCAGTGGTTGAGCGTCAACCTCTGAACCAGGAGGTCAAGGCTCGATTCCCGGTCAGGGCACAGGCCTGGGCTGCGGGCTCGATCCCCAGTGTGGGGCGTGCAGGAGGCAGCCGGTCCGAGACTCTCTCATCATGAAGTCTCTCTCCCTCTCCCTCTCCCTTCCCCTCCCTCTCCCCCTCCCCCTCCCTATCCCTCTCCCTCCCTCTCTCTCCTTCCCTCTCTCCCTCCTTCCCTCTCTCCCTCTCCCTCCCTCTCTCTGAAATCAATGAAAACATATTTTAAAACAAACTAGGACAGCAGCAGTCCAGGGGCCTCCTGGGGGCACCCCCCTCCCAGCGCCCGCTGCCCTGAGTCTTCCCGAAGCTCCTCCCGGAAGGACCGTCTCCCACGATAAATCCCCCAAAGCAGCCGGGGCCTTGCCCGCTGTTAACCCTCCAGATCATTGTCAGGTTCCAGGAACGAACACTTCCCAGGGTCTGAGATGTATTTCCTGCCACAAACATCACGGCCCTCCACCTACCACCAAGACTCGCGTGGCCTGATCTGGGAGAATTTACTCCCTCGTGCTGATGACGACTGTGCTGTGAGGAGGGCGCTGGCCAGCGCTCCCGCTGGGGGGGGGGGGGGGGCGGGGAACAACGACGGGGGGGGGGGGGGGGCGGGGAACAACGACAGCCCTCGCTCTGCCCGCCCGGCCTGGCCACCTCGGTGGTACAGGAGACCCCGGCCCCTCCCGGGAGCGGCCTGCCCGCTCTGAGCCCATTAACTCTGCTCCCTTTGATTCTCCCCTTGTCCTCTGGCTCTGCAGGCCCCGCAGTTAAGCTCCTGTTTATCCTTTACAAGAACTGGGTCTTTATTGCCCCACATAATGGAATTACCTACGTCCATGAAGGAGGATTTGTCCGCCTGGGTAAACCCCTCCCCTCCTCCTCTGGGCTGGAGACCTGCCCACTGGGGGAGGCTTCTCTCCCGGCTCCTGAAGGGGCGGGGAGGTGGGGGGCGGGGGGGGGGGGACTGGCGGGGGGGAGGCAGGGACGGCAGCGCTTGGAGACCCTGGACTGTGGCTGCATCACCCCCTCTCTGTCTTCACTCGGCCTCCTGTGTCCAAACTTCCCCTTCTGATAGGGACACCCGTCTCTGGGTCAGGGGTCAGGGCCCAGCCAGAGCCAGGACGTCCTGGTCTTAACTTAGTGACGTCTGCAAAGGCCGTATTGCCTTTATCTTTTCTCCCCTATACTTTTATTGATTTCAGAGAGAAGGGAGAGAGGGAGAGAAACACCAATGATGAGAGAGAATCATTGATTGGCATGCCCCCTCTGGGGATGGAACCCACAACCCGGGCATGTGCCCTGACTGGGAATTGAACTGTGACCTCCTGGTTCATAGGTCAACACTCAACCACTGAGCAACACCAGCCTATTTCCAAATCAGATCCCACCCCTAGGGACTGGGGCTTCGGACTTCAACATGACTTTCTGGAAGACACAATTCAACCCACAACCGTCTCCTGTGACTTACAAACAAGAGCGAGAAGAGAGTTAAAAGACAAATGCTTCTCTTGCCCAGGGCACATGCCCAGGTTGTGGGCTCGATCCTCAGTGTAGGGCGTGCAGGAGGCAGCCAATCAATGATTCCCTCTCATCATTGATGTTTCTCTCTCTCTCCCTCTTCCTTCCTCTCTGAAATCAATAAAAATATAAAAACAAAAAAAAATAAAAGAAATAAAGTGGTTTTTAATCCGTCACAAAAAGTGAGTTCAGGTTCCCCCTTCCACTCCCTCAGGATCTGCTCTCTGACCTGTGCCCCTCTCGTTGGAGAGAAATAACAGCTGGGGGATGGGTGCCCTTGACTGCCAAGCCCTTGATCAGTGACTCGCACGTTATCCGGGATGTACTGGAAAGAATGAGGTTCTCAGAGTCAGAGGTCCTGGATTCAAATCCTGGCTCCACCGGACAGCTGTGTGACCTTGGGCAAGTTACCTAACCTCTCTGAACTCAGGGGCCGGCTCCTATAAAACCTGAACAACCTCAACGACCTCGCAGGGCGGTGGTAAGGCTTAGCCCTCGGGCGGAATGTAAGATGCTCCGCAAGCAGCAGGCACTCAGTAGATGCTGCCTCGCCCGGCCTACAGCCGCCACCCCACCCCCGAGAGGCAGTGGCATAAATCCAGCCGCAGAGCCGAGCACGTTACTTTTTGGGGGGATTCAGCAGTTTTCCTTCGACAAGCGCCTCTGCATAAAGCACACCAGTGGCTCGGCTTTAAATAGTGCAGATGGCAGCTGTCTGATTTAACAAGTTCAGCCCGTTCGACACAGAACTCTCGGCGTGACTATTATTACACTGGCCTGAGCACGCGGGCAGCTTTCTATTTTCAAATACAGTAAGACTAGGCTCCGTCTCAGAGAAGCTTTTAAAAAAGAAAAAGAATAAAAGTCGATGCCGTGAGACCTGGGCCCTTCCCCTGCTGGAGCCCCGTCCTTCCTCTGGGAACGCAGGCCCTGGTAGGGCCCTCGCCCCCCTAAAGGTGCCCCCGTGGCCCAAATCAGACTGAGAGACGGGGCCCACACACAGCCGGGGCTGGGTGCGAGGGGGAGCGCCACGGCTGGCACCTGCTGAGGAGGCCACCCCGCCCTGCCCCACGGGGAGAGGGCTAGCAGGTGCCCCACCCCTCGCTGTGCCCGAACCCTTCCCATTGCCCTCCGTGGGGCACGGGAGAGAGCCCGCCCGAACCCCAGGAGCTCTGAGCTGGACGGGACCTCAGTACCTGCAGGCCCGCCGCCCCTTCTTTGAGGAGGGCACTGGCCCGAGAAGGCAGAAGCCAGCCCCACTGGGCCTGCCTTGCTCCGTCCACTGCAGCTGCACCACACACAGCTCTGTGTTCTCGGCGCCGAGGCCTGGCCTGCACACCTACCGAGCACCAGAAACCCCCCGCCAGGATCCCTTCTTACTTGGAAAGTAAAGAAAGCCAGGCCAGGCTCTGGCCAGCCCGCGAGGCAATCAGCGAGCCAGCCGGCCTTCCCTGGCCCCTGAGGAGCGGGCGCCCAGGATGCCTGGGGAAGGAGGGTTCATCTCCAGCTCCTCCCATGATGTGTGAGGGTTACATTCAATTAACGGGGGATCGATTTTTGCACAGCTGGCCACCGTGCTTGCTGGGAGTTATTTTATTATGAAACTGAGCGCTTTCCTTTAAAAACACGGAGAGTCCCGCACCAGGTGCCCACAGACACAGGGAACCCCTCCCTGCGTTTTCACTGCTCCCTTCTCGGCCCACCTTCACCCCCATCCAGAGCCCCTGGTGCTGTGGGGGCTCCGAACAGATGACCATGGGCCTGCCAGCCCCTCCCCCAGTGAGAACCCAGATGACTCCTCTGTCCGAACCAGGAAATATACATACACACATGCCTACATGTGCCAGGTAGATAGATGATAGACAGGTAATAGATAGATAATAGACAGATGATAGATAGATGATAGATGATAAATGATAGATGACAGATGATAAATGATAAATAGATGATAGACAGGTAATAGATAGCTGATAATAGATGATAGATAATAGATAGTTGATAGATAAATGATAGATAGATGATAGATGATAAATGATAGATAGATAATAGGTGATAGATTATAGACGATAAATAACAGATAGATAGATGAGAGATGATAGATAATAGATAGATGATAGGTATCTTCCCACTTTTGATGAGAACAGAGCTGGAGTTGGGCTGGGGTGTTTAGAAGCATTTTTGAGTTTTTAAATAAAGCTTCTTTTCAGAACAAAATTTTTTGGGGGGAAAAGGCCTGATCTCATTCCCCTCAGACAGGAATTCTGACATGTCCACTTTCTGCCGTCTTTTCTGCGTGTTTATTTTTGTTCAGTTTTACACACTACGTGACCCAACCCTATGATTGCTAGGTACGTAACTGCTTTCTTCACATCTTCCCTTCCCATTAAAATCCCCGCATCTCTGCCCTGGCCGGTGGCTCAGCTGGTTGGGGCATCGTCCCCGTACACCAACAGGTTGAGGGTTCAGTTCCCAGTCAGGGCACATACGTAGGTTGCAGGTTTGATCCCCGGACGGGCACTTACAGAGGCAACCAATCGATGTTTCTCTCTCACATCAGTGTTACTCTCTCTCTCCCTTCCCCTCTCTCTACCGTAAAATCAACAAAAACATGTCCTCTGGTGAGGATTAAAAAAGGAAAAAATCCCTGCATTTCCCCCTCAACACGCTTGTCTGCGGATGGCTGCCCACTCTGAGCGGAGGTGCCGTGCGTCCGTCCGTGTCTCACCGCCCCTCACCGCGGGCACCGAAATCACGGCTCGAACTCCCTGACTCTACTGAAAAGGCCACAGTGAGCACCAGGGAAAGAACTGGCCCCGAGGGGAAGAGTCTTCCTAAGACGGAGTCCCGGGGGAACTGCCAGGTCAGGGGGTGACCGTGTTTCCGATTCTGGCCCACAGCAGCGGGCGCCCGGGTTGAGGTGCCCAGGATCCCAGAGGCAGCCCAGCAACAACGGGACGGGGGGAGGAGGGAGCAAGCCCGGGACACTTCCGCTGTCTCTCTCCGGAGCCAGAAGCAACTGTTCCTGAAATCATGGCTCTGCCGGTGGGCTCCATGGGCTCTGCTGGTCATGATGGACGGTCGCTATTTCCCGAACTGGAGCTGGGAGGTGGTGTGTGCTCCCCGCCCCCCAGGAGAGGGAGGGCAGGGAGGGAGGGGCAGGCCAGCCAGGAAGAAATCCAGAGACACACTGAATGTGCCTCTACACAAACTTCTAAGATTCTGGTGGGCCTATCAGCGTGGCTCAGTGGTTGAGCGTCGACCTATGAACCAGGAGTCACAGTTCGATTCCCGGTCAGGGCACAGGCCCGGGTTGTGGGCTCCATCCCTGTAGGGGGGTGAGCAGGAGGCAGCCGACGGATGGTTCTCTCTCATCACTGAGGTTTCTGTCTCCCTCTCCCCTCCCGCCTCTCTCTTCGGAAAGGCCTGGGGCTTTGGCTTTTACATCACACATGCTGGCTGAGACAGAGCTTTGCTGCAAATTGTCTCTAAGTGCGGATTTCAAACAGTGTTTAGCAGGAGCACACTGTCAGCACATCACCCTGGCTGACGGACAGCCTTTCCCAAAGGGCGTCGCAGGGCAGGTGAGAACGCACAGCGAACCACCTCCCAAGGGACCCCAGGGTCCAAAAGGTCGGGCGCAGCTCATCTCCCAGGGGTGGCGGGGCCCAGTACCTCCCCGACAGCCCCGCCTGGGGGGAGGGAGGGCAGGACTCCTAGTCGTGATGTTCCCCCCTCTCTCTCTCTCCCCCTTCCCCTCTGAAATCAATAAAACACTTAAAAAAAAGGAAAAAACGGACAGAGCTCCAAACTGCCACGCTGGGGGGAAAGCGCAGGTGGGACGCCGCCTGTGGCCTGCGACCCCGCGCCCTGTGACGGAGAAGGCGCGGGTGTTGGAAACGCAGGTGTGACGCACTGAGAAGGCCCTGAAAGCCTTGCTCCAAGGCCAGGAAAGGGCCCTGCAGCTTCCACCCGGGATGTTTTATTAAAAAGGAGGAAAGACGGGCCACCGACCTGACAGTGTTAATGCTGTCGAACCCGGGGACGCAGAAGGCGCTCGGGGTTGCATGACCGTGGGGCTCTCTGTATCCTTAGTTTCCCCCGCTGAGCTCTAGGAGTGCGTCTGGAGCCTGCACACCTGGGCCCACCCCTCCCCCGCTCCGTGCCCCCTCACCTGTCCAGGGCCGAGTGCCCGTGCCCGTGCCCGGGAGCGCGGTGCAGCTCGCTGCTGTTCTCCAGCCTGGCCAGCGCGTCCATGCGCTTCGCCATCAGCTCCAGCAGCTCGCTCATCTTGCGGAGGGCACCGCGGGACTCCAGCCCGCCCGTCACTGCGGGCAGAGGGTGGTCAGTCAGAGGAGGCCGCCTGGTCTCCGGCCGGGGTGGCTCAGACCCCAGCCCCGCTCCTGTCTCCCCAGGAAGAGCAGGGGTCAGGGAAGGGAGCCTGCCGCGCCCGTCACCTGCAGGGCTGGAGCCCTCCCTGCCGTGTGGCACTGGGAAAATCTCTAACCTCTCTGGGCCTCAGTCTGGCCTCAGCAGAATCGAGCTGTAGACGTAACCTCAGGCCCAGTAGTGGGACAGGTACCTCCAAGGCCCCCGACGGCCAGCTCCGGACAGAACTTCTGGATCCGGCCTCCATGCGCCCCGCACCTGAACCTCCTGGCCAGACTTGGAGCCCACGTTCCCGGCCCTGGTCCTGACCTGCCATCGAATCTCCAGGACGTGGAGCCCAGGACCTGCACTTCCCTTGCTGCCCACATGCCTCAGATGCACAGGAGAGGTTGCGAGCCCGGGTTCGAGGGCTCCAGGGCCCTGGTCTCCTGCCGGCCTCGGCCGACCGCATCCCTCCCCAACCCCTGCTCCCTGACCGCCTGTAGAAACCGAGAACAAGTCCTGACTCTCAGGCTGGTCTCCAGTTTCCCAAAGACCAAGTCCAAGGCCGAGGGGCAGAGGAGACCGTGCGAAGAATAAAGTGAATGAAAACGAGGTGCTTCAGCCAAGATCGCATCGACCAGCCGGACATTCTCCGCACTTTCCTTTCTGATCACCCCCGTCGCCAGCGCCACACGGCCCGGGGGCGCAGTCCTCGCCTCCTTTCCAATGGAATCTCCCGGAGGTTTGAAACCGCCCCTCCACGCGGCCCACAGGCGCCCATTCCGGGCACGGCTCCCAGCTCGGCTCCCTGCGGCCCCACGGACCCAGCTCTGACTCTCTCGAGAAAAATGAGCTGTCAGGGACTCCCCAAAGCTTCTGGGGTTTCCGGGGAGGGGTGGGGGCACCTCAGGCTGGGGTCCTCAGAAGGAGACCCCAAAACAAAGGTCATTTATTTGGGGGTGAAGGAAACCCGGTTGGGGAGTGGGGAGGTGACATAGGGCAGGGGAGACAGCCCAGAGAGGGTGTGTCACCAAGCCGGGTGAACCAGCAGGTGTAGACCCCGGCTCAGAGCTCCCCCCTGGCAGACGAGGGAGCTGGGCCATGTGCACCCCATCTCCGCCGGTCACCACTCCGGGGCTGCTCCAGGACAGCCATGTTCTGATCCTTCCCAGCAGGAAAGGCCCCAAGAGCCGCAGGGCCGCCCACGGGAGGGCAGAGGGGCGTGAGCACCAACAGTCTCTGCTTCTCAGGAAGAGCGTGGCCCAGCAGGCCCGGAGGAGCTGGGAGGCCTTGGGGTCGGGGCTGCCCCTCCAAGGAGGGATTAAGCCAGTTCTTAAACATGCCAACAGCGCGAAGACTGGGGGCTGTGGGTGAGAGAGGAGACAGGCCCCCTCTCCTGCCTCTGGGTCCGCCAGGCCACTTCCATCAACGGGACCAAGACCCAAGACCCCTCCCCAGCTGCTGGGGCCCAGGGGCCGCCCGACCCCCGCTGACGGTGCAGGACCCCAGAAACTCCAGAGACCTCAGAAGGCAGCCAGGGGAAGGCAGCTTCATGCAGCCAGGCCCGGCCGCCCTCCCCGCCCATGTGGCTCACTCCCTGGACGCCACCACCAGGGGACTAGCAGGGCGAGTCCTGCCACGGGCCTGGAGTCGCCTCGCTGCGCTTGGCGTCAGTTAATGTGAGGCCCCAGGACACATCGCAGAGCCTACACATGGTCCCCCCACATTTCCATGTAAATGAGCAGCTGGGACGCGAGGTACACACAGCCCCTCGCACTTACACACGGGGTTCACTGCCCACACGGCCTTCTCCTCTCCAGACACGAGCTCTGTTCCTGTCTCTCCCGTCCTCCCTCGCCCTCCCTTCCCGTCCCCCACCCTTCCCCAGTGCCCCCTGGAAACTGAAGCGCCCCCCCCCCTCCCCAAGCAGGTAAGACAAGGGCCTCAGACACAGAAGCGAATTCCTTAGGAGGGGAGAAGGGCGGGGAGGCAGGAGGCAGGGAGGAGGGCTGGCCGGGCAGGGAGCACACGCCCTGGGCCCCAGCCAGGCCCGGCTGCAGCAGGAATTAGGTTAGACTCCTCCTCCCTGCGCTCCTGCAGCCTCCTCCCTGCGTCCGGACGGGTGTGCGGAACATGGGATGAGGCGTCTGTCACATTCTGCTCCGGACTAGAGAACGTGTCAACAGTGCGAGGGGCTCTGGATATTAGAGTCGGGGTCCTGGGGGGGGGGGCGGGGAGTGAGCAGGAGGAGGCATGAGGGCCCTTCTGGGGGGACCAGGTGACCTCCAGTGTCCCGCCACGTGCCCCCCCAGGGCACCCTCACAACTGGCCCAGCGCCCTTCCGCCTGGATCCTGGCATCTCCTACATAGAAACCCATCCTGGCATCTCCTACATAGACACCCCTCCTGGCATCTCCTACATAGAAACCCCTCCTGGCATCTCCTACATAGAAACCCCTCCTGGCATCTCCTACATAGAAACCCCGCATCCCCTCGGTCCCTCGTCTGCACTGTCCCACCTCACACTCAGCACCGCCCCCATGTTCACGGAGCTGATGCTGGTGCAGCAGCCGCGCTGGCCCGTGTCCTCTGAAGGTCCAGGTCCTGGGAAGCGGACGTGTCACCCCGCCTATCAGGGGAGGGAAGGCAGGCCCGGGAGGGCTCGGAGGTGGGATAAACTCACTACCCGCGGGCTTGGATGGCTGATACCCTGACGTTCCTGCCGGGCCTTGGGCCTCCGCAGGTTTAAAGAGGCGGATGTGAAGGCGAGGGGATGAGGGTAACGGGGCACAGACGGCACAGTAAGTGCCCCCCAGAGCACCCCCTCGATGACAGGACAGAGAGCCAGTCAGCTGAGCCGGGGGGTGGGGGGTGTTGAGAGAATGCACTTCAAAGAGAGACGTCCGAGAGGAGCAGGGAAAGCCCACTTGCCTCAGTTTCCCCTCCGGCTCTGCTCCCCTTTCCCACGGCTGAGGTGAGGCCGCCGTGGCGCACTGAGCCCGCGGCACTGCCTGCACCCCCCCTGGGCGGGAGGAAGGAGCAGCCCCCACGTGGGAGGAGGCTGCCGGGCCACCACCCAGCGCACCACGTGTGAGCTCTCCCACCCACCCGAACACGGCCGTGGCTCTCCTTCTCCAGCGGCACACAGCTGGCCGATGGGGAGCCGGTACAAGCGGGGCCGCCCGTCCCCAAGGCCCATGCTCTGAACCTCCGTCCACTGCCTTGCAAGCAGCACGCGGGCAAAGCCGTGAGACCCTGACTGTGCCCGGGAGCTCAGAGATCGGCCTGCCCTCTGCCTGCTGTGGGCACAGCCTGGGCCACAGGCACAGAGAGCCTGGATCTCAGACGCAGGAGTCACATTCAGACCCCCTTCCCTCCCCCCCCCCCCCCCCCCACTAACGAAGCGACACCGGCAGCTTCTCCGACGCCTGGGCTGGGCCACGTGGCTCAGAGCCCCTCCCCTGCTGAGAGCCCAGGCGAGAGGAACGGGTGACCACAGCCAGGACCAGGTCCAGGCGGCAGAGGGTCCCACAGCCCAAGCCGAGGCCCCTCTGCCCCCACGTCCACGCGCGAGGCGGCAGGATGCCTGGAACAGGGCCCCGGAGCGCCCTCCGCACTGCTGGCTCGCAGGCCTCGGTCCTCACCCACAGACACGCACTCCGACCCCACACCCTCTCCCCAGCGATACCTTCTGTGCGGATGGTGAACGGGGAGTCCCCCGGGCGCCGCGCGGAGAGCTGGCCGCCCAGCGACGTCATCAGGAAGCAGAGCGAGAAGAAGCCGATGCCCAGGACGAAGAGCCTGCGGGGAGCAACGGGGGTCACGGCGGCCAACACGCCCTCCCTCCCGTGAGGCCCGCCCACTGGCTGCGTGAACGTGGAAGGGCATGGTGACGGTCAGGGGCCGAGCTCGGCCAGGTCTCCCGTCGGCACAGGAGGAGCCGCTGAGCGGCCACAGGGCCGTGCGGGGCGAGATGCGCACCGAGGCCTGAGCTCTGGCCTCAGCAAAGGCCCTCTGGGCGCGGCCCCCAGACCACGGGCGCGGCCTGGAGATGTGGGAGGCACAGTTCCTGAGCCACTCTGGGGTTACTGAGTCAGACACTCGGGGGGGGGGGGGGGAGCACTGAGCTTTCTGAGCTCTCAGCAACGCTGAGACCCGCTGACGTTTGAGAACCGTTCGTGTAGACGGTTCAGCAGAACCGAGGCCGAAACCACCCGCTCGGCCCGGTGCACAGGCCCAGCCGCAGCCGTCCGTCCTGGGTGTGCGACCACCTCCTTATCCCGTTCAAGGGGGTGGGGTGTGCAGCAAGCTCTAGAAGGGCAGGGCCGTGTGGCTGCCTTCTGTGCCGACTCTCCCTAACCCGCATCTTCACCAGGCAGGCACGCGGTCGGTGGTCAGCCTGTGCCGTGGCCTGGTCAGAGTGGCCAACAGCTGTTAGTGGGGTGTCACATGCGTGTGCTGTCACAATCAGGAGAGCTGGCCGAACACGACTGCTGTTCATGCTTCACCACCGAGTGACTGGCTATTTCCCAGGTGCCAGGGAGCCACCCTCAGGTCCACAGCCCCCGCCCCCGCTGCTTCCGTACCAGATCCTGGGCCCACACAGGAGAACTGCGCTCCCAGCAGAGTCCTGGGGTGGCCAGAGGCGGCAGCTGTTCTGGGATTTTATCTTTTTTAAAAAATATATTTTTTAATTGGTTTCAGAGAGGAAGGGAGAGGAAGAGAGAGAGAGAGAAACATCAATGATGAGAGAGAATCATTGATCAGCTGCCTCCTGCACACCCCCCAGTGGGGATGGAGCCCGAAACTGGGGCATCGAACCATGACCTCCTGAACTGGGCGACGCTGACCGGGCTGCTCTGTGGCTTTAAATCGATCCAAGAACTGGATGAACCAACAGAGCTGAAAGGGGATCCCTCCCCCGCCCAGGTCAGGTCAGGCTGAGGAACCCCATCTCACAAGGAGCCATGCTCACCATGCGGAGCCCCCCAATCACCCCAGAGGCCTCCAGCCCTCTCACCGCCACCCCATCCTCAAGCCCCACTTTGTCTCTCCGTGCAGGACTGGCGTCATGCATTTTAATCTTCGTTGTTGGAAGCTGGCAGAGCAGTATTTAACTAAAACCTGGCCCATTAAAGAAAACACATCGTTACCGAAGAAAATAAAAGCACCACAAGATCCCCACCCATGTTTAAAGGAAGCTGCTGGAGACCAAATCGGAGAAGGGGCGGACCCGAAAGCAGAGAGGGGGCGGGGGGCTTCCTCCCGGAGACAATGGCACAGGAGGCAGCTCCCTCACTGTCCACCCCCAGGCCCTGGGTGTGGGGGGAGGGGGCAGGCCCTGGGATCCCACAGACGAGAGCCTGCTGGTCTCAGGCAGCAGCCAGAGGGACCGTGTGAGAGGAGATGGTCGCACACCCAGGAAGGTCCTCCCAGCCTGAGGACCAGATTGGAGTTCCTCGGCCCTCCCTCCCCCTCCCTCCCCCAGCCACGGGGCTGCCCTGAGAGCCGGGGGCCTGAGCTGCCAGGGCCCCAAGACCGGCATGAGCAGGTGTCTAGCCTGGAGCCCAGAACCTGAAGTGCCCACACACCACACCTGCCTCTCTCTCCGCCAGACCCCAGTCCTGAGGCCAGTGCCGCCTGCCCATGAGGACTGCAGGAGTGACATGGCTGGAGGCTGCCCCCATCTTTAGGGACACAGAGACCCACTGAGACCCTGAGGTGAAGGTACACATCTTGGGGGTAGGGAAGCCTGTGCACCCCCAGAGTTTGAAAGAACCAGGGCAGGACCCCAGGGATGCAGCGGGGAGATGGGGTTCCTCAGCTGGCCTGGGGGTAGGAAGGGATCCCCTTTCAGCTCTGCCAGCTCAAGCTCGGGTCAGCGGCTGGGCTCCTGCAGCCTGGATGGCAGGGCAGAGGTGGGGGGCAGGTTGAGACAGGGTGAGGACCCTCCCAACAGCCCGGGTCAGCTGGAGGTCAGAGGGTGTCCTGAGGAGCAAGACCCCTTCCCCCAGGCACCCGCTTCCCTTGGGAACCTATGTCATGGCTCCTGAATCTCTCCCCTTTGCCCGCTCAGGCCCTGCCGTCTGAGTCCCCCAGCCTCATGGTCCTCCCGCACCCCCGGACAGTGGGGTACCGCATGGCTCCTGCCTTCCCGGGGGCTGTCTCTGGGATGGAGGGATGACCTGCAGGAGAGGCGGGAGCCCCAAGAAGCAAGGTCTCCTCCTCACAGGAGGCCTCAGGGGAGGGGCTCAAACTCGGCCCCTCCCAGAGCCCAAGCCTCAGGCTCCTGTACCCTCTCCAGTGGCCGAGGCCAGAGTGCGCGCCCCCCTGACCCCCTCTCCTCTGCCGGCATTGGGGGTTGAATTCCCATTAGAGAGGATCCTTGCCCCAACCTCGGGGGCCCCTGTTGGAGACTGCCCGCACCCCACTTGGAGAAGGGGAGTGCTCGCTGAAGGGGGAGGGGAGGGGGGCCCAGGAGGAGGGGGAGCGCGGACCCAGGGCTGCAGGGCCAGAGAGGTGCAGGGCCAAGAACTTTGACGCCAGGGTGGGGTCTGCCAGGAGGGGCGGGACCCAGACCGGAGGGGAGGGGAGGGGAGGGGAGGAGAGGGGAGGGGAGGGGCGCCCAGCTGGGCGCTCACCGAGCCCAGGACCAGAACCCGGTGCTCCCGGCCCCATCTCCGTCCTCTCACCCGGAGTCCTCTCCAAACCAGACCCACTCGGGACACATCTCAGAATTGCACACCCCTCCCCGCGGGAGCCCGAACCCCAGCGCCACCGGCCGCCTCCAGGAGGGACGCACAGACCGCCCCTCTGCCACCGGCACGCACCCCTGCGGGGACTGACCCTGCGCCCCAGACCCGGGCACCGCTACCCCGCGCACCGCTACCGCGCGCACCCCTACCCCGCGCACTCCTACCCCGCGCACCGCCACCCCGCGCACCGCCACCCCGCGCCCTCGGGGAAAAGCCCCCCCCCCCGCCCCCGCCACCGAGAACTTTACCGAAACGGTCTCAGGGTGACCAGGCATCTCCTGACCATTATCTTCCCCTCGGCGTTGACTGCGATCATCGTTCAAACCGTCCGTCCGGCGGGGAGCGAGGAGCCCAGGCGAGGCCGCGCGCCCCGTCCCGGGCCTGTCCCGCCGCGTCCGGGCCGCGAACCCGCTGCGGCCGAAGCCGAGTCCGAGCGAGGCGGGGCCGGGGGCGCGGGGCTGCGCTGCGGGGCCGCGGGGAAGGGGAAGGGGAGCGCGGCTGCCGGGGCGGCGAGGGCGCCCGGCCGGGCGTCTCTGCGTCTCCGCTCTCCCCGCTTCACATCTTGGGAGCCGGGAGGCGGCGCGCCCCCAGACCGCCGGCCGCGCGTGTGCCCGCTCGGGCTCGCTCGCTGGGCGGGACGGCGCCGCGCGCAGACGGGCTCCCCGCCGCGGGCGCCCTCATCCCGGGCCCGCGCCCTCGGTGCCGGCTACAGGCGGCCCCCGGCCCGCGCCCCGGCCCCCCGCGCCGCCGGCCCGCGCCGCTGCCCGACCCGGCGCCGCTCAGCGCCCATGGCTCCCGCGCCGGCGCCCTGCCCGCCCGCCGCCCGGGTGTCCGCGTCCCGCCCGCGCCGCGCTACGCGGGGAGGCGCCGCATTGTTCCTCGGCGGCGGCTCCGCACCGCGGCCCCTTCCCCGGCGCGTCGGCGCCACCTCGTGGCGGAGGCCCCGCAGCGCGCCCTCCCGGCCTGGGCGGGGCGAGAGGACGGGCGGCCGGGATCGCCGAGCCGGAGCCTCCCCCGGCGGTATTTCCCCGCCCCCGCCCCCCAACCCTACCCCCAGCCCCAACCCTAACCGCCCCCCGCAAACCCCGCCGTCGGCCGCACCGGGCGCTGCCAGCCCCGAGGGCCCCGGGCTGCAGGCTCCGCGGAGGCAGCGCTGGGCAGGGACACCCTCCCCGCCGGTGCCGGGGCCTCCCTCCGCTCGGCCTCTGGCCCCCGGTGGCTTCTGCGCTGCACACCGCGCTGGTTTTGCTTTGCATCCTTCGCCCACCCTCCGGCCCTCTCTGCTCAGACACTGCTCGCCTCCCCTTGGCTTTCTGATCCAAGTTCAAACTCGCCTGTGACCACAAGTTCTTCCAGAAGCGGGGCGGCTGCGCGGGCCCAAGTTCTAACCTCAGACCCTCCAGTAACCAGGGGGGGTGTCCGTGCAAGCCCTCGGGCTCCCCGCTGTGGCATGGGAGCGACGGGGAGTGCGCGAAGGCCCCGGGCCCTGAGCTGCCCCCTAGCCCACCGCCAGCCCCGCTCCTGAGCCATTTGCTCCATCCGTGACTCATGCTCCTGCTTCACCTGCTTCTTCTCCATCAAAACCCACCCGGCCCTGCTCCATGATCTCATCGCCTCGCTGTCTGCGAACGCGAAGACCGATGATGAACGGGTGTTGGCGGACTAAGGAGCTGCTCCAGGAGGGAACAGATTTGCGCTGGGCAAGGACACGCTGACCGGGCCTCGTGCGGAAGAGTGCCGAGTGGTGGCGGGAGGAGTGTCAGGGCAGGCCGGCCAAGGAGCCAGAGGGCAGGGTCCCTGCCGGCTCCGAATCATACCTCGCGCCTGGGCATCCGCATCAGCCACACAATCGTCCCGTCCCCGGGGGTCAAGGCCCAAGCCCCTCTACACTGAGGCTGAAACGGCCCTTCCAGTTGTGTGTGTCGCTCACGAACGCTCAGGGGGGCGCATGCATTTTAGCCCAAAGGGAGGGGAGAGACGGGTCTCCCTGAAGGACAGCCATCTGCAGGGGGTCGTCCGAGAGGTGGCCTTCCCTCCGTCGGAAGCCAGAATTCAGAAGGTGAGCCCGGCCAGCGCAGCTCAGTGGTTGAGCGTCGACCTCTGAACCAGGAGGTCATGGTTTGATTCCTGGTCAGGGCACATGCAACCCGGGCATGTGCCCTTGGCCGGAATCGAACCTGCGACCCTTCAGTGAATGTGGGCGCAACTATTTCAAGAGTCGGAAAGCTAGGCTTCTCATGTGGAGTCGGATGATTTTAAAATGTAGGCTCCGTTTTTAAAAACGTTGTGCAAGGTAATAAAATCCAGTGGCAAGTCAGCCACCTGGTCCCCTGTGGGTGTCAGGAGGGCAGAGCTGGGAGTCCACCAGCCCCACCCACCCAGCAAGTCCTGGCTTTCCTGAAACCCCCCCTCCCCACCGCCCCCCTTCCACCTCACAGGCACCCCCCTGCCCCCGGGGGGGGGGGAGGTCAGCACTCTGGGTGTGCTCTGGGGTCTCCCTGTGGACTCCTGGTCCCTCACTGTCTCCCCTCACGGGAGCCCTGGCTGCGGCCTCCACCTTCCCAAGGCGTCAAGGTTGCTTCTGGGGAGGGAAGAGGCAAGAAAGAAACAAACCATTGACTGCTGTCACCTCGGCAGCAGACACACATTAAGAGGCGACAGGCCACCGTCCTTTGCTGGCGTGCGGAGCATTAATAATGTCATAACAGCCTTTGCTGACACTGCACACAGATCACCCGCGGGCAACCAGCGGCCCCCCACGGAGCTGCGGCGGCCATGCGGGGAGCCCCAGGGGCGCGCTCTGGCCAAGGCACACCTCATGCGCTCCGTCTCACAGCGTTAGGCTAATCCTCCCCTTGGAAAGCAGCTCGGCGCTTGTTGTCATTTACGCCTGAAGGCCGTCCGCTGCACAGCCTGTGGGCGCCGGGAACGGCCACTGCACTTTCCTGTGCTGCAGGCCGTCAGCTGCTGTGCGTGTGCGCACACGTGTGCGTGTGTGCGTGGGTTCATGGGGTGGCCAGGGAAGCCAGGACAGACGGACGGGGGTCCCTCCCAGTGGACCCCATCCCAGCACCAGAGACACAGGCCAGCTCTTCCTTTAACAAGACCCTGAGGTTCCATTTATTGCACACCTACTCCGTGCCAGGAAATGAGCCCGGGACTCCATGTTGCCATGTTTACTTTGCTACTTCATTTCAATGTGCTTTAGCAGGGCGACATTTTTTCTTTTTTTAATCCTCACCCGAGGATTTTTTTCCCATTGATTTTTAGAGAGAGTGGAAAGGAGAGAGAGAAACAGAGAGAAACACCGATGTGAGAGAGACACATCAATTGGTGGCCTCCCGCATGCCTCTGACCAGGGCCAGGGGCCTGCAACCGAGGTACGTGCCCTTGACTGGAATCGAACCCGGGACCCTTCAGTCCGCAGGCGTCATGATGCTCTATCCACTGAGCCAAACCAGCTAGGGTGCAACTTTTTAAAAAAATGTTTTTATTGATTTAAGAGAGTAAGGGAAGGAGGGAGGGAGGAAGAGAGAGAGAGAGTAACATCAATGATGAGAGAGAATCATGGATCGGCTGCCTCCTGCACGCCCCGCACTGGGGATCGAGCCCACAACCCGGGCATGTGCCCTTGACCGGGAATCGAACTGTGACCTCCTGGTTCATAGGTCAACGCTCAACCACTGAGCCCCGCTGGCCGGCTGACCTCAATCCTATGAAATGTCCAGAATGGGCAGTTCCATACAGACAGGAAGTGGGCTGGCGGCTGCCAGGGGCTGGGGAGTGGGAGTGGCAGCTCTCGGGGGCGGGGCTTCTTTCCGGGCTGATGAAAATGTCTAGGACGGGATAATGGGGATATTTGCACAATCTTATGAATATTCTAAAAACCACTGGATTGGCCCTAGCCATTTTGGCTCAGTGGATAGAGCGTCGGCCTGCAGACTGAAGGGTCCCTGGTTCAAGTCCGGCCAAGGGCACATGCCGGGGTTGCGGCCTTGATCCCGCCCAGTAGGGGGCGTGCAGGAGGCAGCCAATCCATGATTCTCTCTCATCATTGATGTTTCTATCTCTCTCTCTCCCTTCCTCTCTGAAATCAATAAAAAAAATATTTAAAAAACAATAACAAAAAACTCGCTGGATTATACACCGGAAAGGGGCAAACTTTATCTGAATGCTATCTCAACAATGAAGACGCTTGCCCACGGGTACTTGTCAGCACAGAGGAGAGCAGGTTTGAACCCAGACCCTGCCTCCGAGCATGCCCCCCCCCCCACCTCCCCCACCCGCCACCGCCGCCCTGTTGCTCTGGCTCTTACGGGTTTGCACACGCAGCACCCAGGGCGCCCGTGGACCAGGCGCTGAGTAAGCGCTGCTTGCTGACTGGCAGAGGCTTAGAGGAGAGACAGCGCTTAAGGGGCAGAGGATGGGCCGGGCTCCCAGAGGGAAGATGCCCCTTATTCCAGCCTGTGGCCCGCTGCGCCCCCTGCAGGCCTCTAGCCTGTCATTTCGGGCATTTAAACACACCCCCCCCCCCTCCCGCAGCCTGGCCAGCGTGGCTCAGTGGATGATCACCCACCTCTGCACCAGGAGATCACGGTTCGATTTCCAGTTGGGGCACAGGCCCAGATTGTGGGCTCGATCCCCAGTGTGGGGCCAGCAGGAGGCAGCCGATCCATGATTCTCATCATGGGTGTTTCTCCCTCTCCCTCTCCCTTCCTCTCTGAAGTCAATAAGAACACATTAAAAAATAAAAAGTAAAACTTCCCCGCTAGGGCAGGTGCAGGCCAGAAGGGGTCAGTGTGGGGAAAGGGGGATGGATGCAATACTTTCAACAATAAAGATTAAAAAAAAAACCTTCCCCATAGAGCACAGTCACCAGCCGTTTCTCTCCCCATCTTCTCTCCTCCGACTGAGGAGGAGTCTGAAAGTGGCCCTGGCTGCTGGTCTGATTCGATAAATACGCGATTGGAGCCGCTAATAAAGCCGTCCGCCATCCCGGGCCTCGCCGTGCTGAGCTGAGGCCTCTCTTTTTAAATCAGTTTTTAGGAGGACAATGAACTGGGTCTCGTTCGGGAATATCAGCAAAAGCAGCGGCTCGGTGAGGTGCCCCCGAGGGAAAGGGGACACCTCCGGGGACGTGTCACCTCTGCACGAACTCTCCTGCAGGACCCCATCCCCTCGCCTGTCTCTCCCACCTCTGGGGGGGGGGGCGGGGGGGACTGCACCCGCTCGCTCCCACACTTCCTGGAGCAGGAGGTGTTGTGTGTAACTGTCCAGGAACCCGGTGGGTGGGCCTCCCAGGGCTGCCGAGCAAAGCCCCGTGGGCAGGCGGCGCTGGAGCCGCAGAAACCCGCTTTCTCGGCCCAGAGACTGGAAGTCCGAGGCCCAGGTGTGGGCAGGGCCGGTGCCTTCTGAGGCCTCGCCCTTCGGCGGGTGGGGCCTTCCCATCGCGTGGTCGTCCTCAGCCTCAGCGTCTGCCGGGGTCCTGGTTCCCTCCTCCTACAGGTTCACCTGGCAGGGCTCGCTGGGTCGGGCCCTCCCTCGCCCCCACCCCGATGACCTGGTATCAGCGTACTTACCTCTGCAAAGACCTGTCCCCCAACGGTCACATCCGGAGTGAAGGTCGGGGGCGAAGGCTTCAACCTGTGAACCTGGGAGGCGGCACAATTCAGCCCAAACAGGTGCCCACTCAGAACTGCCCTTGAGGCCCTGGCCGGCAGCTCAGGCGGTTAGAGCGTCGC